AGTTGGGCCCTCACGGGGGGGCGTCGGGTCGACGGGGCGGCATTGGGCGAGGCCTGGGGGGGGGGGAGAGGGGCAGCCTTCTCAACAATGGCAGCAACAGTAGAGGTGGGGGCAATGAGAATAGCGAACACAGCAAAAAGGGTCGGCCGTTGGGGCCGGACGGGGCCGGGCGTGGCCGCCGCCGGGAGAAGGGGGAAAAGTAGGGCGCAAGGAAGGTGGGAGGCGGGAGTGCCTCCCTGTAATGATAACTAGGTGGTGGTAAGCGGGGCGCGAAAACGAGCAGGGGAGGTGTGGGGTGGAGGGCGTGGGTGAGGGATGGGAAGAGGAGGAGGCGGCGGACAAGGTGGGAGGAGCGAGGAATTTGAAGGTGGATACGGTATGTCGGATGCCAGACCGTAGCGGCCAGGCGGAGACGGCAGGCACGAAATAAAGTAAAAAGGACCCGGCGGGCCCCATGGTCACGTCGATTTCGTTTATGTTTTTCTGGACATTACTTTGATCGAGACAAGGGCCGCGCGCCACCCGACCACGCTCATGCCGTAGCCCCTCCCCGCCCAACCTCCAAGTTCAGTCAGGGCCTCTCCGTCCCCCCCTCCCAACGCCCTCTCCCTATCTACGCACTCACAACTTGCTCTCCAGCAGGTCAAGCAGCTCAGCCCATATCAGGATGCATCGATACATGGCCGACAGGCACACGGCGATCAGGAGAAACTGCCAGTTGCTGACGATCGCCCGCGGTAAGGGGAGGTAGGCCATGATGCGACTCGCTACCGAGACCGCCCGAACCACCAGGCCCTCCGAGCCGCCCGCCTGCGCATGGGCCAGGCGGACGACGGCCAAGACCAGGAAGAGGTGGTTCCCCCCCGTCGCGAACGTGATGAGCGCGGGGCACCGGCCCAGATGCTGCCGAAGCCACTTCCGATACGGGCCCGTCTGGACCGACACCTCCTCCTCTCCTGCCGGCGCCGGACCCTGCCTCCAGTACGGCGCCACCGCATCCGCTGCCGCCAGGCGCGTTGAACCCTCCACCAGCACCTCGAACCAGAAGGCCAGGACCTCGATCAGGAGCATGCCCAACCCCAGGCGGACCCGGTGCACGGGGTTGGGCCCATACAGGGGGCCCCCCGTCTCGACCAGGCCCGTCATCAGGACCGCCAGCAGGCTCGCGGAATCCAACCGGTCCGCCACCAGGGCGAAGACACGCTGGCGGCTGCGGGGCAGACGCACGGGGTCCAGGTACCGCGCGGCCATGTCCAGCGCGAAGCCCCCGACCTCCAGGAGGACGTAGGAGTGAAGGTCGTTCAGGAGCACGAAGATGAAGGCCAGCACCATAAGGGCCAATCGAGAGCCTTGGAGCCAGGTCACCACACTCTTCGCGTACTTCAACTGAAGCACTTCAAGACGATACAAATACAACCGCTTGATTTCCTCTCGCCTTTCTGCCTTCCCCGTTCCCCGCTTCTCCCGCTCGCCCTCCTCTTCTTCGTCATCTCCATTTACCGTCACTTCTAGGGCTGCGATCTCCATTCCATTCTGATCGATGAGTGTGACTCTGTCTCCTTCTTGATTCAATACCTCGCGACGCCGAGGTCTGCCCTCCCGCGTCGTCCACAGCAGTATCTGCAGTTCCCCCGGCCGTTCTTCTTCCTCCACGCCGTACTTGCCTGGTGCGCAGTACACGTGCAACTCTGCACCCGGGGCAAGAGTGTAGCCTTCCTCAAATTCATACCTGTGATGTTGTCCTTTGTCGCACAAAGAATGCCCCGACAAGTCGACCGGGACGGACTCAGGGTTGGAGATGGTTATTATCTCCCGCTTTACGTCCACGTCGCTGATGTATGGAGGCGACCTGTACAATATGGAGCGCCGTCGGGGATTTTGGCAACGCGCTGAGGTACCATCTTGATCACACTCGTCTAACCAAGGGATTTCAATGAGCCTCCTCATTATGTGGTGTGACTTTCCTGCAAGACGGCCGACCTGGAGAGGAGATCACGCCCCACTGGAAGCGTATGCATTCAAGAGTGAGAGGAGTCGGAAGAAACTGCGGACGTTCAAAGTCGTGAACAATTGTAGAAGCCCATTATCAAAACGGGATAAAAGAAAGCGGGAAGATCTCAATGGCCATGACAGGGCTGGCATTGCATGGATAAACGTGTCCTGCCGCACTGCTCTCGCTAAGACGCCGCAAGCGAAGGAGATAGGAGGCGGCCCATGTCCGTGAAGGCGCTTTCATCGGTCCCCGGTCATTTAAGGCACATGGGCATCAAAGCCTTCGCGCAATGCATGAGCGCGTGATTGACCCTATTCTTTGTATGACTGCCATGTAGCATTCATGGAGCTCGCAATGTTGTACAGAGTTATATTTTAGCATCAAGCAATTCTTTTAACCTCCTGCTCCCCACTCGACGTCCGACTCCAAGAATGGCAAGTACTATCTGCTCACCCCCGGCGCAAGCACGATCTCATCTTCACCGTCTTCATCTTCCTCGTTCAATGGTGCACAAGATTCCGATTCCCGTACACTATTGCCTTCATCTAGCATGGCGCTGGCGTCAGAAACGAGACGAGTAGCGGCACGGGCGCCTTGGAAGGCCTCAAAGGGTCGAGCACTGACAAAATCGGGAACAGACACCTCACTATCAAGAAGAGCCTGCAAATAAAGACGAATATTCCCTAAAGGACCGAGGGCATCGTCTGAGGCATGGGCATCAGGATCGTCCCAGGCCGGGGGGTGGATGGCCGTGTGGGGGGGGTTGAGGGAGGCCTTGTAGCGCGAGTCGTCGATCATAAGGGTGTTGCTGGGGCCTGCAAATGTAAAGAGAAGAGGAAGCGTCAGCCTGCAAGCATCATTTGTTGAAAATAGCTCTACCATTGTTTTCTCGTGACCATGGGTAGAGACACGGACTCACCGAACAGTCCGGCAACGTCCTTGCTTTCCCATAAGCGCCGCAACTCCTTGAAAGCAATTGGTTTCCCGGGCTTTGCCGGATCAGTCTCACCGTTGTATGTGCACCTGAGGGGTTAGACAACCCGGCGTAAATGGGCAAGTCATACAGATGCGAAAGGCACTTGAAAGCACCCTTACTTACCTTTTGCCGTCCCAAATGAAAGCCAATCGGGCCACATCCTCCTGTGTTCATACCGGATAAGACCAGAGATTAAATCTTGCGCTTTATTGAGGTCCAAGCACTTTTCTTATACCTACCTCGGGCAGGAGACCCTTCAACAGCGGTGTTGCATTGATTGCCGACGCCGTAGTCCACACCCCTACGAAAAAGTTATCCAAGCAGAATCTGTGCGTAGTGTATATATGGACGATGATCTTAAAATGCAATACCCATTGTGTGGAATCCCTCTTAAAAGGCAGTGCCGTAATTCTGTCCCATGTGGACGTTACCTGAGAAAGTCTTTCACGTAAGGGCGCTTGTAAACCAAACAGCTATTGAGGCACCATGTTGTCGTAACTCTTGGTAGAGCGCCTTCTGCATCTGTAAGCGTACATCGAGGCGTTATCTTCGCATCGACCGAAGCTCCTCCTCTCTTGCTGCCATCCTTCTCACCTGCCCTAGGGCCCTCCCCAACGAAGACTCGGTGCACGAGCAGTCCATTCAGGTCGAGAATTAGAAGCTTCGGTCTTCTTCGATAAGTGGGAACTAGGGAACGTAGACGCTGGGATAGATAATATCATTCGTACGTGTGTGTCAAATGAAATCGCGGTGCAAAACTTCGAAAAAGCAAGAAACTACGTACCTCTACTTCTAGCTTTAGCAGCGCTATTTCTATGTTTTCTCTCTGACCTCCTCCCCTTCTATCCCTGCCGCTGTCGTGTGACATGATACTTTAACAAATTTAAAGGTATGTATGAGTTGTGATTTTCTGTGATGGTGGCACCGTACTCTGAATGCAGTCTGTCTAGGCGCAAGCAGGAGGTTACGAGACTCGACCATGAGGGAGAGAGAGACTTGTACCCCCCCATAATAACGCTTCCTAAACTCACTGATATGTCATGACAAGCCGTGTATTTTACAATATAAGCCACATTCCTGTATGACATTGCTTACGGCCACGCTGCCAGACCTTTGACAGGGTCGCAGCAGAATGGCTGCGAGTGCGAGTAGCTTCGACCTGGAAAGAGAGCTTGCGCGTCTTTCCCTCGACACAAACGTCTACAGAGGCTATATTGAGGGAATGATGGATGATGAGGACACTGGAGACCTGGAAGAGCGAGTAGAGGCTGTGCTTGCGTTTTTAGGCGGCGCGACGGATGAGGACCTAAGTGGGTTTGCGATTGACTTGAAAACCCACCATCAACTAAAACACGCGGCGGAGGCGGCCAGGGAGACTAGCTTGATAGACGCAGATAAGGCAAAGGAAAGGCGGCGTTATGAAGAAAGACTTGAGCAAGACAAGAAAGCGGCGAAGACAGAGCAAGACAGACAAGCCGCGGAGCTTAAGTCTCGAACGGAAGGAGATCGTGCGACGATGCGGGGGCGAGAAGCTATTTTGAATAAATACGCGTTTGGAGACGACGTTGTGGACGAAGATGGAAACCCGGTGGGTAAACCAAGGGGAGGAAAAGATGATAAGTCGGGTGCCGGCGAGGCGGATGTTGTTTTGGGTGCTTTACTAGGAGCCAATTCAAACAAAGCTCAAGTGGAGGCCGCCGCGAAGGCAATGAGGGAGAAGTCCAAGGCGGAGCACGAGAAGAAGGTGTTGAGAGAGAAGGTAAGCACCCATCTGCATCGATGGAATTATGGACGAGTAGCTCACTTTCTGTCACTGAAAGTCGATTCAAGGACCGCGAATCCTCTGTTTTCCCAGGCGTGCGTGAGGTACACTGCCTTTCACTATCTACGCTTCATCATTCCTATTATTTTGCCTACCTAGGAACTCCTGCTGAGAGACAAGATGCGGAAGGAAAGTGAAAAGCGGCGAACCATGAAGAGGGAGAAACAAAGAGGATGTGGATAAAGACATGGAAAAATAAGCAGGGTGAATTTGTGAAAGCGCTTCCATGGATTTTTCTTTTTTTACGGGTGCATTATCAGGCTGCCTATACTTCCCTGAAGCTCCTCTTCCGATATACAACTCTCCCCGGATGATCGTCTCGGTATCAGTCAACCGCTGGGCGCCTGATGAGAGACCCTCCGCTCCATCTGTTGTCAACAACCCGCTGCTGCATACATTTCCACACCACCTCCCGTACCAACAAATTTACATCATTTCAAGCTGCCCCGTTCCCTTGCACACAGACCTGAGACCGAATGACGTCTCACCACCTGAGAAGCATCATGCAAAGGCCACAGGACAAAATCTGCGCCTCAGCACCTCACCGGAATCCAGCGCTTCGCTACCTTGCACTGAGATGGAGCAGGCCGGCAACAGTGCAATACTTCAAACTCACGCTTACGCATGTACAATGATTACTCCTGTCCACATGTGTAGACGCACCTCCACCGCCCTTTTCCGACTCCCACCGCATCGTCTCCGCCGGTAAGCCCCCCGTTTCTACCCCTCCAAGCGCAAGAGAGCCATGATGTTGGGAAGGGCCTTTGGGTAAGATAAATGTCCGGGCACCAGCTCACTCAAGTCCAGATTCTCGACCCGCCGCTCGCCCTCGCCCACCACCTCCACCGGCCCCAGCCCCGCCAGACCCAGCTCCCAGGCTTTGGAGCGGAAGAGGAACTGCAACACCCAGTCCCTGGTCGAGTACCCGTTCACCAGCCTCCCCGCCACCACCGCCAGCGCCTGCCGCCACCTCTCCGACGCCCGACCCATTGGCAAACCCAGCAAGACCGCATTCTCGACTATGCCCAAGCCCGCTTCCCCCTTGCTCGCCAGGGCCTCCAGGCAGTGGAAAATGACGCGTGCGCCCATGGAGAAGCCCATGAGGGTCACCGGGCGCGACCCTTGGGGTCGTAAGGCCAAAAGGTTGGCAAGCAGTACGCCGGCCTCTTGTGCGTGCAGCACCGCCAGCTGCCAGGGGCTGTCCAGTTTTTGGGCCGCGGTCAGCACGGAAATGGGCAATGCGGCGGCAGAGGTCAATCCCGCCAAAGCCGTGTGCTTGATCACCTCGTCGATGGCGTAGCGAGACGCCTCGTGCCAAACAAACTCTCGCATGGCGCGGTGCAGCTGGCCCAGCAATGCGGTCTCCCAGATCAGCACGTGCTCCTCCCCTCCCGGCACCACCTCTCGCCACCACCCATTCGACTCCACCTCCAACGCCTCCCAGCTGCCCAAGCTCCCGTCCGACGAAACGCTTTTCCCCATCGAAGCCCCCTCCTCCTCCGACTCCCCGCCCCCCCCTGCGGCCTCCTTCCTTTCCCTCGACCCAGCCTCCGCCTCCCCGCCCCTCCCGCCTGTGTCCTTCCCGCGACCGCCCCCCGCCTCTCGTGAGACGGTGGACACCGTAGTCATATCCCCTCCCCAGACCCGGCGGGGGTCCTGGTCGTGCTCTACCCATCCGGGCACGCAAATGAAGACAGGGAGACCAGGCGAGCCGCGGAAGGAAGAGGCAGCGGCCCCGTTGTCGTCTCTCGGCGCCTGCTGACACTCCTCGGTGCCCCGCTTAGAGGCGTGTGCCTCCCCGTCGCGCTTGTGCAAAGGGAAGGAGGAATGGAGGGGCACGAAGTGGAACTCGGTTAGGCCCCGCGTGCGTTGTGTCATTTTGTAGCCAGTGAGGCCCACCCCCGTCACGGCCAGGAAGGAGGAGATGCACAGGTCCGATGTCAGGCCCCAGTACGACAGCAAAGTGGCCGTGCTGCTGGTCAGCTGCTGCGTGATTGCGGCCGCGGCAGGCCCGAGCCCCATCCCTCCCGCCGTGCAGAGAGCCACCAGGGACGCGGCGATGGAGGGCGCTGCCACGGAGCCTGTGTACAGCATCAGCGCCCCGCCCCCCAGGGCGGCGCACGCAACTTTGGCGTAGCGTGCAAGACTCTGGCAGCGAGGAGGGTCGGCGCCGGCGTTGGCCAAAAGGGAGGAGCACTCGAACGCCAGGGCGCTCTCTATCGCCACCACCTCCGACCACGGCAACAGATCGGGACCGAGTCGCTGCGAGAGCCGGCGGAAGCTGGCGCGGGCGCGGGCGTCATAGAGGTGGGCACGGACTTGGTAGGTGATGAGGACTTTCACGACGAGAGACAGCCAGGCCGAGTCCAAGGGAGAGGGACAACTCGCGCCCACCTCCCTCACCAGGTCCTCCACGAGCTCGGGCACCGTCTGGACCAGCACGTAGCAATCCTCCTCCGCATCGGCCTCGGAACAGGATTGCTGCAGTGAGACCAAGCCCCCGTCCTGGCAGGCCGCCGTCACCATGGCCCGGAGGGTCGTGTCGTCGTCCAGGGCCAGCACGTCCGACAGGGAGTCTACATAGCGAAAGAGCCTCTCGCGACGCGCGGTCTGCAGCTGTGCTTTCTCCTTACACTGGCGTCGACGCGACGCCTGTCCAGCGTCTTTGGCGAGGTGTGTGTCCTGTAGGAAGGGGCCATGGCTTTCAATGGCGAGTAGCGCCAAAAGGTAGATGATACGCGTGGATGATTCCTTGAGCCGGCGCCCTCCCGTCGTGGACGGAAAGCCCGGCAAGGGGCGTCCCTCCCGGGAGCTTGACCGTGTAGATGCGAAAAATATCTCGTTAGATTGGGGACGTGTGCCCATGCTTGGGGGGGTCGGGCCCTCCGCCACATCTAAATGCAGCTTTGTCAGGCCTGACACCTCCATCATGAAGAGGCGAACGCCAAGAGAACTCAGCCCGCCCCTGCTAACCCGAGTCGCGATTCAGATAAATCGCACACGTAGGCGCGGGGGCAAGGTTCCTATCGCAAAGGAAGTGGGTCGATGAGTATGGATACACCGGAAATCTAAGGATTACATCGTGGTCTTTGCTTGACATATGGCATGGAAGAGGAGAAGATGGGCGCGGCAGATTGAGCACACCACGATAACGCCCGTCTCGGACCACACCGCATTCATGGCCTCCATCACACGAGGAACAGTCAAAATAGTACTTGAGAAACTACGTTCGGTGCTCACGCGGCGCCGCCTGCTGGGAAAGAGCACACGCCCGCGCTAGATCTTGCAGGTGGCCTTGCCCTTGAGCTCGCTGCCTGATCGTCGGGGTCACCCGGGTCGGACATCCCGCTTTGGAAGCTTTCCAGTCCCTACTGCCACCAGGGGGCGACCCTCTCTGCTTTGCGCCATCCATGTCATCGACTTCGACGATTTCGTATGGTAGGGTGTCTGGACTCAGCCTGGTTCACGCCCTTCTGTACCTTTGAACAGTCGAGGAGCCATGAGGGCGTCTCCACCTTTATCCCTCTTGCTGGTCTTGCTGACCGCGACAGACGCCTTTTTCATGGGCAGAATTGCGAGTACTTTGCATGGAGCACCTAAGTGTTCTTATTACACTAAAGCGATCGCCAGGTAAGGTGGTAAAAAGGTGGTAAATGTAGCAAGGGCAGTCACGTATCCAATCACTGCCTGCTCTCCCTTTTGATAGACGCATGGCCGTGACGATGGAGGGAGAAGTGGCTGATATACAGAAGGAGGCTGAAATCAAGATGAAGAAGAGCGTGGATTCAACCGATAACAACCTCAAGGGCATTCGCACCGGTCGGGCATCGTAAGTTAGTCTGTTGGCGCCACGTGCCGTGTAGAGCCTCCTCTTCAACGTCTGGTACGAGACTTTGGGTCATAGTCTTCGGAGTACTCACATTAAGGATCTCTGTAACCCTTTTTCCCCAGTGTCACCCTCCTTGACCGAGTGATGGTCGACTACTTCGGCTCCCCGACGCCCTTAAATCAGCTTGCCGGTGTCTCTGTCTCGGGCCCGCAGTCTTTGGTGGTCTCTCCTTACGACAAGAGCGCCTTCAAGCTAATCGAAACCGCCATCCTAGAATCAAGTCTGGGTCTCAATCCGAACAACGAGGGAAGCGTTTTGCGCTTGAACATTCCCCCCCTCACGGAGGACAGGAGGAAGGAGCTGAGCAAGATGGCCAAGGGCCTGGCGGAGGAGGGGAAAGTGGCCGTGCGGAACGTGCGACGGGACGCCGTGGAGAGAGTGAAGAAGTTGGAGAAGGACAAAACCATCGGGAAGGACGAGAGCGCTAATGGGCAGGAGGCGCTGCAGAAGCTGACTGATAAGTATGGGAAGCAACTTGATGAGATGCTCAAGTCGAAGGAGAAAGAGATCATGACTGTCTAGCCAGAAAAAGAACGCGGTGGGAAGGATGTGTGGAAGCTCGTAGTTTAATGGCTTAAAAGCCTGACCAACATAGCAACATCATCCGCGGCGATAGCCCTCATGCTTCTTCCTACCTCAATATCTCATTTGCCCGTCCCCCCCACGGCAAGCAATGCCTCCCAGCCAAAATCTGTGATCCCATCGATGTTCCAAATGTCCTCCAATTTTCTATTTTCAACTCAGAGTCCATCTTCTGACAAATGCTCATCGATCGTCCCCGGCGCCTGAGACCCTCCGGGTCCATCCTGGCTCTCCGCCGCCTTTCCTCGCCCTTCACCCACAATCGGGGCACCCCATGTCAACACGGCACAGTCACATCTCATTTCCTGCTCCGGCGCCTTCAGCCTCACGCCCGCAGTCTTTGGAAGAGCTTTTCGAAATCCTCCCGGAGCTTGGCCTCGTCCACCTGGGGCTTGGGGACTTCGCTCATTACCAGCACGACCCTCCGTGTCTTGAAGGGCTCGGCGGCCTCTTTCAGGGCCACGGATAGGTCCGAGTAGGGGTGCCTCTCCACCCACAGCTGCAATGCCTCCGATCGGAAAAGCCCAGCCGCGGCCTCGATCTCTGCCGCCGACGCCTTCAGCAGGCCCGACCCTCCTGTGTTATGGTTGACCACTTTCGCGCCTCCCCCACACTTGCTGGCCAAAGCCACGCCCGCCTCTGTGGCTGCCAGAGCCAGCGTCGGCTTCGGCAATTCCCCCATGATGCTGGAAAAGCCGGGGTCCTCCCTCGCGTAAGTGTCGCTCACAACCACGTCCCCCCCCAAGTCCTTGATGAGACTGATCTTGTCCCAGAAACCCGGCCCATCCACCACGATGTTGATGGTGCCTACGCCGCGCGCCTGCGCAATCTGCACCACCGCCAATCCCACGGGCGAGTCCGCGTCCGCTTGTAGCACAAAGTCTCCCTTCTTGAGGCCAGCAAGAAGCCGGAGCGCCGTTAATGCCGTCCCCATGCATGCAGCAAACTCCACGGGGATGTCAGAGGGTACCTTGGCCAGTTCATTTTCCTTGGCCTTGGCGGCGCTGCAAAAAGTTGGCACGGATCCCGACGTCGGCACCGCCCAGTCATGGACGGCAAATCCCCGTACCTTGCTGCCAACCGCGGTCACGACACCCACACCTTCCACTCCGGTTGGATTTTTCTTCCCAACGTCCATGGCAGTCACAGGCGCTGCCAAGATGCTGAGAGCCACCTCGTTGTCCGCCAAAGCGCCCGCAGCTGTTGACAGGCCTCGGCAAGCAGCAGCGACCGTAGCCCCGGGTGGTCTCAGGCGTGCAGGCCCTTTCCGCCCCAGCAATGAGGCCATTACCAGGCGGGACGACGCCATGGATGGGTACTGCTCCTGGATGTAGGGAGATGCCCCAAGAAAGTGAGCTTGATTGATAAGGAGAATCATGATGTTTGTCGATTACGGTCCTGGACGTGTCGCTCACGCGTGACAGGCAGCGGATGGTCCCGAGCGGGCAGATGTTTCAATCATGAATAAATACAAACACTGTACACGTGGCATGCCTATTCCACCAAAGTAATCTTTACGCCGCAAAGAGATGAGGCGGAGCCTGGTGCACGGCGATGGAGACGGCGAGGATCCTGGGCGCAGATAGGTATTGAGTTTTTCCATCGCTCGTCTTGGCCCCTGCGCGCCTCGCTCCTTCCTCTTCCTCCGTCTTGCCGCCTGCAGAACACGGCGCATTTCATGCTTTTGGGGAAGCCTTCAATCTTGTTTCACGGACGACCCACGTGCCGAATGAGGACGTGACCGGGTAGCGTGTGGGGGAGCTACCGGTGATGTCCGCGTCCGCGATACTCAGCTTTTCAGGGGATTGCCGAGATTCGCGACCGCTCATCACACGAAGGTATCATCGACGCGCCGTTCGTATGTCTCTTCGCGGCTTATATCTATCCGCGTGGGGCTGCGGGCACTTGTTTCAGTCACTATCGAGCACGTTAAGTTGACGGTGTGCTTTCGAAACCAGATACTGCAAAGCAATGAAACAATTAGTATTGGAGCGTTTGATGGGACCAAGTGGAAGCTGAACGGGAGGAGCGGCTGTGTGGGGTTGGACAAGTGCTTTGTGTCATGGGCTAAAACCGCTCGTCTTCCTAGCCATATAATGATCTTGTTAGCTCTCGTGCACGCTGTACTTTGTATTTTGGTTGCAATGCAATTGTAACCGTATAACACCACTTTGTTCTCGTCGGAGTCAATCGAAATCGCAGCTTCCTCGCCCTGTCGTTCTCACGGGTTTCGGTATATATGTACTTATCTATGAAGCCCGGGGTGTACATGTCTTCTCACAAGTTTCATTTCCCTTCAATACTTGCCATGCAGACACATCTTGCGATTTGGCCTCTTCCACCTCCCCTCGTCGCATCGTATGGTCAAAGTGCTGCCTTTCAAAGCCTACCGGCCCCCGGCCGCTCTGGCAAGCACAGTAGCTGCCCCTCCTTACGACGTTATCTCCTCTGATGAGGCCCGTAGATTGGCGGATGGCAAAGAGGACAGCTTTTTGCGCGTAAACAAACCAGAGATCGACTTGCCTGCAAGTCTATCCTCTTATGACTTGCGGGTATACGAACGCGGCGCAAAAAATCTCAAGGAGTTCATCTCCCGAGGCTGGCTTCGCAAAGAAGCAGCCCCCGCGTACTATATTTATTCCCAACGGATGGGTGATCACATTCAGCATGGGATATGCGGTGCATGTTCTGTGGAAGAGTACGCGACGGGGGTGATCAAACGCCACGAGAAGACGCAGGTGAAGAAGGAGAACGACCGGACCCGCCTGACCTACACGCAGAACGCCAACGTGGGGCCCGTCTTCCTCATGTACAAGCCCCACGACGCGCTGGACGAGATCGTGCGCACGGTCACAAGCACGCGTCCGGCGGAGACGTCGTTCGTGGCGGATGACGACGGCATTGAGCACTTGGTCTGGCTCGTGAACGACGAGCCTACGGTCAGCTCCATCCGCAGGGCTTTCGAGAGTATTCGCTTCTCGTACATCGCCGACGGCCACCACCGCTCTGCCTCAGCGTTCCGCGTGGGAGAGATGAAAATCAAAGAGGCGATTGCGGCGGGCAAGAACGTGACGGGGGACGAGTCTTTCTGCCTCTTCTTGGCTGTCCTCTTCCCTGCCAACCAGCTGAAGATACTAGAGTACAACCGTATTGTGAAGGACCTCAACGGCTTGACGGAGGATGAATTTTTGAGCAAAGTGATGGAGAACTTTGAGGTGTCGAAATCGGGAGGGGAAGAAGTGAAGCCAGACGAGGGGGCCGGCAATGGAGGAGAGCCGCGTCCAGGAGGCAACAAGATCGTCCGACCAACGGTGAAAGGGGAGGTGGGTATGTGTCTGCGGGGGACCTGGTATCGGCTAAAGGCGCGGGAGGCTTCGGTCCCCAAGCACGACCCTGTGAACTCGCTGGACGTGCAAGTAGTCTACAACCACGTGCTTAAGGCGGTGCTGAACATCGGGGACCCCCGGGAAGACGAGCGGATGAAGTACGTGGGAGGCGTGCGAGGTCTGGAGGAGCTGGAGCGGCTTGTGACAGGAGAGAGGGCCTGGGGGGCCGTGGCCTTCGCCATGTATCCCGTGTCGGTGGAGGAGGTTATGGACATCGCGGATGCAGAAGCCCTCATGCCCCCAAAAGCAACCTGGTTCGAACCCAAACTACGATCGGGCTTGATCGTGAGGTTGTACGACGACTCGTAAAGGAGACAGAGGGATGAATGTGATAAGTGAGAGATTTGTCAGTCGCCATGCGTTGACCAACCAGAGTACACCGAGCTTGACAAACAGATCAGTCACACTAGGAAATGGAAATGCGCGATTTAGGTAAAACACGCAAAATTTAAGAAACCAACCGCAAACAATGCACATGAAAAAGAAAATTTGCACAAGGAAAGATTACATAGACGCTACTTCCCAATCAGAGGGCTGCCTCCGTGGCTCCTGGCCAAGACTTTTTCTTTCTGGCAAGCGGTTCGCTTTCTCTCGGTGTTGTACACCGCATATTGGCCGTCGTGACGCACGAACAGCTCTAGGACGTTAAAAGATTTCGCATCTTCCGCATCAAATTGTCACACATCAGCCAATACGATGAGATAGGACCCGCGTTACCTCATGAAGCTCTACGGGCACTCAAATCCAAACATCTAAACGCACACAATTTTCAATACCCCCGCTCCTGTTTTGGTACGTCACCATCTTTGTTTTCTCTACGAATATAATGTCTTACGACCCCAGACCATTACCACTAATGCCTTATTAGAACAGGGGTAAAAAGGAAAGACGTACACTACACATGAGCTCAGCTCGCAGCCTCGCTTTGAGCTTTCGTCCGCTTTCCCTGACACTACCCCACGCCTGTCAAGCACTTTTCCACCACCTCACCATCTCACAGGGTGGTGCCCATCTCACTGTCAGTCGCGTTCTTCGTCTATCTTTATCCTTCGCTCCCGCAGTCTTCCACCGGCTAGCGCGGCGCCCGAGACGGGCACAAGCTCCCCCTTTTTCTCTCCAACGCCCCCCGCCCTCTTTACCGGTAGTTGGCCGGGACGTACTTCTCCGCGTAGTCCTTTCCGAACTTGGCGACCCACTTGGGGTGCTTGACCAGCCACCACTCCTTGGGGGGCTCCACCATCCACTCTTCGGGGATGTCCTGCTTGAGGTACTTCTCCGGCAGGGGGTCCGGCCCGGCCCATGGCCACTCGTCCTTGTCTGCGGACGCCGAATGCTCCACGGAGGGGTCGATGTATTGCTTCCAGTCCTTGCTCAGGAAGGCCTTGGCGTAGTTCTTGGCTTCCGCCTGCTGCTCGGGGGTGAGAGCTTTGTAGGCCTCCGTGAACTTCTCCTTAATCTCTGCCTCCGACAATTCGGATCCTACACCGGGGACGGAATCGAATCCGGAAATAAGAGAGGGAGGGACTGTGAAGGGCTCGATCTCGGCCTGGAGCTGGGAAGCAGATTTATCGTTCTTGATGCCGTACTGCTCCATGCCCTTGCTCAACATGTCCGCCTGGCCTCCGAGAGAGTACTGGAGGGCAGCAGCTGCCGCTGCGGCAGAGCTCTTGGTCTCCTTCTCCAAAGACTTGGCCAGTTTCGTGGCCTTCTCCTGCACATCCTTGATGTTACCCACCATGTAGAAGGCTTGCTCAGGGATGTCATCGTAGGTACCGCGGAGGATCTCCGTGAAGCCGGAGATAGACTCCTCCAAAGGCACAAACTTGCCCGAGAAACCGGTGAAGACCTCAGCGACGTGGAAGGGCTGGGACATGAAACGCTGCGCCTTGCGGGCACGAGCCACAGTCAGTTTGTCCTCCTCGGAGAGCTCGTCCATCCCCAGAATGGCGATGATATCCTGGAGAGACTTGTAATCCTGAAGCAGCTTCTGGGTGTCGCGCGTGGTCTTGTAGTGCTCCATGGACACGTACTCGGGGTCCATCAGACGAGACGACGAGTCCAGGGGGTCCACGGCGGGGTAGATGCCCAACTCGGCGATCTTGCGGGACAGCACAGTGGTGGCGTCCAGATGGGCGAAGGTCGTCGCGGGAGCAGGGTCCGTCAAGTCATCAGCGGGCACGTACACGGCCTGCACGGAAGTAATAGACCCTTTGAGCGTCGAGGTAATGCGCTCCTGCAACGTTCCCATGTCCGTGGCAAGCGTGGGCTGGTATCCGACAGCAGAGGGGATGCGGCCCAAGAGGGCCGACACCTCGGCACCGGCCTGGGTGAAGCGGAAAATGTTGTCGACGAAGAGCAACACGTCTTGCCCTTCCACATCACGGAAGTACTCAGCGATCGTCAACCCCGTCAGGGCGACACGGGCGCGGGCCCCGGGCGGCTCGTTCATCTGGCCGTACACAAGGGCGGCTTTGGAGCCCTCCGTGGATCCGGTGTTCTTATCGATCTTGATGACACCGGACGTCATCATTTCATGGTACAAATCGTTTCCCTCGCGAGTCCGCTCGCCCACGCCCGCAAAGACAGAGAAGCCACCGTGGTTCATGGCCACGTTGTTGATCAGCTCCATGATCACGACCGTCTTCCCCACACCTGCCCCGCCGAAGAGGCCAATCTTTCCGCCCTTGGAATACGGGCCGATCAAGTCAATGACCTTGATGCCCGTAGAGAGGATAGCATCGGACTCACCCTGCTCGGTCAGGAGGGGGGCCGGGCGGTGGATAGACCAGTGCGCAGCCGCTTTAATGGGACCCTTCTCGTCGATGGGTTCACCAATCACGTTCACGATGCGGCCTAGCGTACCCGGACCCACCGGCACCTGAATGGCGTCTCCCTGGTCTTTCACAGGTTGTCCGCGAACTAAGCCTTCAGTGGCGTCCATGGCAATAGTGCGGACCACGCGCTCTCCGATGTGTTGCGCCACCTCCAGCACCAGGCGGGGGCGGCCCTTTTCTACCTGCACCTCAAGGGCGTTAAGAACACGAGGCAGTTTGTCGTCAAACTCCACGTCAACGACAGCACCGATGACTTGCAGCACACGGCCATCCTTGACTGGGGCCTCGGCCGCTTCTGACATCCATCGCCGCGCTGTTTTTGTCAATGCCGGGAAAAGTGGGCCGATTCAGGATGTCAGCCTCGAAAATTTTTCTCGCACAAAGTATACTCTAATGACATGGCCTCAGAGAGCAGGCTTGCAGACACTGTCCGACGTGCAAGCTCCTGGACCTGTCGAGCATCCCGCCCAACTTACAAAATGCAGCAGGTGTGGAAGCGCGGGCGATCCCCTTGAAGGAGGTCAGGCCTCTCTTGAGCATTCGGCTTGCAGCAAACGCCATCCTAAAAGTGTTTTCAAGTAGGGGGCACGTAAGTGAGGGTGTGGTATGGATTTCTGGAAGACAGCTTGTCTTGAGCACTCTGCCACTCCCAAATGCATTGAAGAGCATGTCGCTTGTAGGTCTACTAGATGCCAAAATCCTGAAATCGCACCATCCTCTTCCAACTCTTATTCAATAGTGTGTCAACTACACGAGTTTGTGTTGGTTGTTGTGCAAGGACGCAACTAATTAAGAGACAAGGAGAGGGGGCCAAGCCAAAGCTTTGCTCGTCCTCGTGCGTCCCCTTACACTTGTCGTCTTCGTACCGTGACTTACGACCATACATCACGCCCAAGAACGAATAAATCGAAAAGTACAGACACTGTTTTTTGAGAGGCGGCAGGTACATGGGACAATGACGTCCATCCTAGGCGTAAAGCACGCGGGTCGAGAAGATGCATGATGACTAGGGGGGGCCGGCGGGCGTTGCCAGACGGAGAAGGGCACACCGCCCGCCAGCCAACCAGCAGCACGTGGGTCAGCAGCAAATAAATGGTCATGTACGAACAGAACCACCAGTGTCAAACGATCGCAAAGACGCACGCAAGTGATGTATTGACGGCTTGCCTTTTTGGAACCCTCGCTCAGGTAGGCGTGTCGTCCACCTTGCCGGCAGCGTGCGCTTGCAGCCCACGGGGCGAGAGGCAGCGAGAGGATTCAGATATCTGACGGGCTGGAGGATGAGCCTTTAGGACCCCACGAGAGGCTTGCAATGGGTTCCAGAATCGGGACTCTTTCTTCCTAAAGACGGAGCGAACGCAATGATGCTGGGGTGAGCTGTTGTTGATGTTTACATTCTTTACATGTGTGGCATTTACATGCTTTTGTCCGCCATGCTACTTACTAATGGACTACAGAACTGATTTTTCTCAACATTTCTGGGCTTCGAGGAGATGTCTTAGCATGCATCGTCTTTTTCGAGCAGCTTTACACATGTAAGGTGTGTCAATCTCATCCCATTCATCTTCCTTTCTCCTTTTATTTTGATAGCACTCAGCAGTAATCGCTGCATCGCCTCTTGCCCTTCCAGTAATGATGTGCGAGCAACCCACAGCAACGCCTACCTCCTCGCCCCTCTGGTGTTCTCCACCTATTCGATTTCGTGTCAACAACGGCACAAAGTAGGTTTGACGTCCCGGTGTCGCGTAATTACAATTAGTTGGAACCACCACCTCGACGGGACACCGTGTGTAGGTACAATCCGCACGACATAAGTCCAGATCACGACTAAGGTAACCTGTTACACGCCCGCCAGGACGCAGATGGTAACTTATTGGACGAATACGAAAGAAAGGTGTGAGAGGCCGAAATGCCCAAGAATAAAGTTTTTCCTGGTCAGCGTTGGTGGAACCACTTGTCAATGGTTTCACACGAGTCTCGCGGTCGAGCCGGAGGAAAGGCTCTTGTTTCCTTTCAACTCGACGAAGCGACATTTCCAAGCCGCAACACCAATCTTCTCTCCCCAAGAATAGAAGATGTATAGAAAAATAGATATACACTGTATTTCTTATCACCTGCCTTCACGAAAAAGATAGACGAGCATCGGCCCCCGTCTCCTCACCTGACTACGAGGTCCAAGAAATGATGCCAGCGAGAGCCCCCCGTCGAAGCCAGAACACGCGACTCGTTCTCCGCCTCCGGACCCAGGAGGGGGAGGGGGAAGTCGTCCATGAGAACTGCGGTAAACATATCCATAGATGGCAAGGCTTGCTGCCAAAAGGCGTGCACTAGGACGATACACCTCTCAAAGCTGTCTGTTTCCCTGGTCTGTTGCTTCTTGTTAGACTCTCCCTCTTCAGGACGACCTTCATTGTGGCTTCCACTTTCCTTCCTGGCGCTTTGGTCCTCTTTTCTCCAACTGTGTTCCACGCTCTCCTTCCAAAGCTTAGCCCGCTCCAGGACTCCAGTGTCACACTCGATTATCACGTGGCGCCGCGGCCGACGTCTTTGAATGGCCGCTGCAGAGTAACCCAGACCCCACCCGATTTCCAAGACCTTTAAAATGAGAGGAAGAAAAAGAAGTGTTGAGGCAAAAGTCTCACCAGTCAACACGTAGCTTGCGTCAACGGCGCCCCTCCACGACTCGTGATGTTGATAGGCTACAAAATATGTGTGCTCGCGTGTGTTTGTTGTCGGGGCAAGTAACTTCCATCGCCAAACGCATCTTTTGAATTACAATCCCTGTACTGTCGCTCTTTGGCCCCCTTTCCAGTATTTAACGACCTGAAAGCTACGCACCTCATCATCAGCCTGGACATTCAAGGCTTCAACCAGCTTTTCCATGTATTCTTTCTCCCACTCCATCATCACTATAGTATTCGTGCCCAGATAAGGTTGTAGTGCCTCCGGAGCAGGTACGATACCATCGTCATCCCTTGGCTTCCCACTCCTTTCCATGCCTGCGTGCTTCTTCCCTCTTTCGTGGGACTGCAAGGTACGCATTACGAGAAGCTCCTTGCCCTCTGGATCCCTCCCGTACTCAAGACGAGAAATCTGAGGTATCGAAGCAGCGGTCTCGGCCATTTCTGCTTGCAGACCCCGAAGGCTGCTGTTATAAATAATTGTAAAGGAAGAGTGAAGATGAGAATGGGGTATCCGTAAAAGGCTGGAGACCACGACAAATAAACTCAAAAAGTACCCCAAAAGAAGAGGCAGCGATCAATGTAAATTATTGCTGCGTGACGACATTTTTGATAAATGAATTGGCTCCTGCCCGCACATTAAGCGGTGGTTAGTTCGGCCCGAGCGCCAACAGAAGAAAAGTAGCCTGATGGCGTGAAGGAGGGCGTGTGGCCATGTTGAGGATCCTGGCGCCAAGGCGCAATTACCCGATCACCCTCGGGCATTTTGCAAGTGCCATACTCTATCAACTAGGCCATTATTTACTTCGTATACGCCTCCCAACATGGTGCCAAGGTATAAATAGGATACAACCACGCTCGGCGTGCCTAAAAGCTCTTCGGGGCCGCGGTTGGCATTGCCGTCGTCCCGGTGTCACGGGGGCCATACGATCTTCTGATCTTCGCGTGCCTCCTGACAGATGGTCCGGGGGGAAACTTTCGAGGCCGAGTCTTAACCCGCGGTGCTCTCATACTCTTGCCTGTCTTCATAGAGATTCATCGGGGTGCGCGTTGGGAGAATTGGGAAACGGGTTCATGTCATGTCTGTGATCATCTGCCTGGCTCCATGTCGTTCTTTTGGCATTCAGGTGTTGGGAGAATCAGATGGCACTTTCAGTCAGAACAGTGTGGTGTTCTTGTGCTTGACATCAACTGGCAGCCCCAGAATAAAATGGCGCGTTCGGTTATGAAAACACATGTGTCAGATCTTCTTTCCCCCCCTCTAGTCTGTGATTACATCATTGTTTGCACGCAGCACGCGTGGCTTGTGTCAGAGTCTTCCACCTGTGGCGCGCTCAGTGACTGTGACGCCTATGTCTCAGAAGGCATCTGCTACCGCCAGATCCGCTAGTTGATTCGTTCCGGCCTCAGCTTTGACACGCGCCTTCTAACACCGCAGCATCCCTCACACTTGCACGGCAGGTCACTCAATGCACAAGCCACTCGACAGCATGAACAGCAATGTCCTCCTTGCTCGTGTCTCCTTACGGGATAATTTGTTGTGTGTCTGTGACCTGAAGGGGGTGATCGTCTTCGCCTCAGACGACCTCCTGTGGGCGTTGGGGCTTCAGGGGCCAACCACGCGCCACATTGGAGCAAGCCTTTTTGATTTGCTCGCCGACGAAGATGTTGAAGAGTATAAGGTAGGGTATGGTGGGTTCTTGGTGGAGAAAAGTCATAGGAAGGCAACAGTTTCTGCCTCGAACGCTTCTGCCCCTGTCGGCAGCCCGAAAAAGCGATTTTTTGTGCATCTAAAAATGATTCTACCCCATGTGTAACCTCGCCCTAATCAATACGATCACAGAATTCACTGCGAAGGAAGTCAGGGTCGCTTCTGAGGTGCAAGCAAAATGGTTGCTTCGTCTGGCTGGACATTCAATGCGTGTCTCATGTACCTCCCCAATTAAAGCGCGCTTTGAGTCGAGTACAGAAGGCGCGCGCCGCTGGGTTCCCCTCTCTCGTGTGCCTTAACAACAATAGCATCAGTGAGAATGTGAACCTTATCGCCGACATAAATCGGGCAGTTGCGCCCCACGCTATGAATAATAGCCCGCTTAACCACCAGAGCAAGGCCTTGGCCTCCGCCTCGTGTGCTTGGGCGGCGGGGAATGTCGTCGGCTTGGAGGAAAACGTATTGACCAAGGATCGCACACTCGATTCCTTCCTTACGCCTGCTGGTCAGGAGGAGGAGAGCGCAACAAGGCCTGCAGATAAGGCGGTAGGGGAGGAGGACGCGGTAACGGAAGCCTCGGACCCGGAGGAGGAGGGCATCTACGCCACTCGCGCGGAGCCGCAGGCCTCGGTCGGTGCAATCAACCCGTGCCTTCCCTCCTTTGGCTGCCTGACCTTGGAAGACGGTGCGAACCAGGGCCAGCGGGCGACAAGGAGCTTGTGCACCACAGCGTGTACCACCTCCTCCTCCGTCTCCTCCTCGGAACAGCTGGGGGACGGCTTGGCGTTGTGGACCGACGAGGAGCAGCTTCGGCAGCAGCAAGAAGAGGCGGCCATGGTGCGAGAGTATTCTTTCCGGGAAATATTCGAGTACCTTAGCGCAGGGGCCAAGTCCATGAGTCATGCCACCAGCTTCTCCCTGAGCGGTTCCCGGGCCTCGTCGACCCTGAACATGGGACCGTCCACAGCAGCCGCGAGTCCAAGCTCGCCGGCCGCCGTGCTGGCTCAACCATGCCGTGACTCTCGACCCTTCAGCGAACGCGTAGCTGCCAAGTGTCGTGCTGCTCCTGAGGAGAGCTTTCTTTCCAGCCACGGTCTGGCCTCCGGGTCGTCCTCCTGGCGCCTTCAGAACAAGTACAAGGTCAGCGGGTACATGGGGAAGGCAGCTGCGACTCTGGGGTTAGGGACGGTCAAAAGTGCTGCAGTGGGCGCCTCAGCGCTTCGTCACGTCCCCCCCATGCTGGATGAGAGCGGGTGGGATTGGTATGTGGATGTGTGATGCTTCAATATCACAAGACTTCGTACCTGATGGGGAGGGTGTATACATGTGTTTGTATTTTAAGTGTCACGTGCATGTTTGCGTCAGTGACAGTTAAGTGTGTGTTTGTCTCATAGAAAAGTGGACAAAATGGGGAGAGAATGAAGATTTAGGCTGCACTAGCGTGACATGAACCATATACAGTGAGAAATGTGCTAGCGTGGGAACTGCCTCATTTAAACGCAGTCATGCATGGCTCGTATCGGCACCTGCACTGTGATATCTATTGAATGTAGGATACAGCAAGACAGAATGAGAACTGGAAATGACAGGAGTGAAAACGTCATTAGGACAGCAGAAAATGCGCGGATGCGGCAGGCTCCCTCCGAGTGGTGGCTCGGAGTCGTGTGGCCGCCCGCTGTCGCTGACTGCACCACTGCGCATTTTCCTTTAGACTCACGTACAAGGTACAATAGCCAGCAACACATGAAATTCAAGGATCAAAACTTAGACTTTCGTCTAAGAGCATCTTGAACGGCGACGTCCAACTACAGTCTGCACGGCACAGGCAAAGTCTCGATCAGGATTACGAGAAATCCTGATTTAGGAAGAGACAACCAAATGATATGGCGCATGTAGTATGAAATTGAGCAGAAAGTCGGCAAGAAAAGTGTTTTTTACAGGACAACGGGTACGAAGCTCAACAGAATTCTGAGGCCGTAACCGAAGCTTTTTCTTGCCTCAAATTCATTTTGTTTCATTTGGGAGAATTTTCTTACCTTCATCTTCTGGTGTAATCTCCAAAATTTCAGCCTCGTAGGAAAAGCACACGCATCGGCAGTTGACCCCCTTCCATACCAACAGATTCCTTTCCTTCTACCCTTCCAATCGAATTGTTCACATGGTTTAATTATTAATCCTATCAGTTCATCGACATTTCCGCAAACTTAATTTCTCACCAACCGCTGTTGGTGGACAACAAAAAGCGCGCATTCAAAGACGTGTGCCTGTCTTCCTGGAAAGCTTTGCTATTATTTCACGTCGCCTCAGGAGCGTCGACTGCGTAACGCCTCAGGACCTGGAGCTGCGCTCGAGTCAGGACCCCTCGCACAGCCTCATACGTACAATCCACGCGCTTACTTGACACGCATAAATCTTTATACAACGTTCCTACAGCCGATGCCATCTTTTGCAAGGCCTCCAACTCTTGGGTCTTCTCTTCAGAAGCCTGGGATAGGATGGCTTTGACTTGCTCCTCCTGCTCGCCTTTCAACTGTAGCTCGAAACACAACAACGGCCATAATGTCTGTCCATCCTTTGCTTCCCATCCTGTTGTCTCACTCTCTTGCTCCTGTTTCTCCTGTATAAGAGTTTCCCCGATTTTTGCTGCTGAGATGCGCTGTGACGAAGATGCCTGTTGAGTCCATACACACGCTCGTCGATTAAGCCACATCCAGAAGCATGCGTGAGGTGGGAACAAAAGACAACGCAAGCGAGCGAATCGATAAGCGCGCAATGCTTGTCTCTCATCCTCTGTACAATCTTCCTGAGAACGCAGGTTGCTTTCTATAACGTGGCGGAGATCTTCAAGCTCCATATTCGATTGACCCAGCTTCGCACTCAAATTTTCCAGGTTTTCCTTCTTACGTCGACGACTTTGACGTGCACTCTCGCGATTTCTTGCGAGACGTTGTTCTCGACGGTCAGATTCGGTTAGAACATTTCTCGTGTCAGTTGTTGGAGTGACCGCTGCAGTAGACTGATGAGGTAATGATCCACTCCTAAAGGCTGAAGGAGTTTGTTTTCGAAAGACTGAAAAGATGGGTGGAAAAGACCTACGCTGGGCATTGTCCATACTGCTGGTACCTGCATATATAGTGAATAAGATCAAACCAGAAGCTGTTGATCCATCACATACGATGTCGAGGTAGGTAGAGATAATAGACACAGCCGGGGGGGGAGCAAGCGAGAAGGGGCAAATTTCAGCGAGGGCGTCCTAATGTACGACTGAGAGGGCCTGCTACCGCGACCGGGCGAGCGCGGTGCTTCTTGGGGCGTAAACTTCCACTCATATGCTCAACTTTGGTCGATGCGTGTAGTCATTATAAGGTTTCTCCGGTAATGATCGCTCATTCGCAACTGTTCCCCCCCGCAGACCACGGAAGAGACCCCACCTGCCCAAAGTGGGCGGATCGATCGAAATGGAACAGGCCCAGACGCAGGAAAGATACGCGAAGAACCATCTCGTTGAAGTCCAGGTCAGGCGTACTCGACGTGCTCATTCGATGTCTGCTCATCGTCAGCACGAGGCCAGGTACGCTTGGACTTACAAGCCTAGTGCGTACAATGCTGGTGAAGGGTATAAGGGTTTGTAAGCTTGCTTTAATCGGCTGATCTTCCGTTCCGAATCACTTCACAACGATTCGATTGCTTGTCATCAAGCGAGTGGAGGGATGGAAGGGCTGCATATTGTAAATTGTACATCGACATCCCCATACATGGCCATCCCAATTTCCAACGCTAAATTTTCCGCTCCTCTTTTGTCAACATGGTCGAGCTTGGAGACACTTATTCCTATGTGCACTACATTTACGATAGAATCACTTCGATCACACCAGAAATGAAACAGGTTATTATCGCCCTTGGAATTCTTACTGGCGTAACTGAGGCTTTTTGGTTGCAGCCTGTAAAGCAAAGTTCAAGAAGCCATTGCAGGAAGCTATTCGCTGAAGAACCTTCTTCAAGCAGTGTATGCGATAGCAGCTCGCGTCAAGGTTTTTTGCAGACTCTTGCAGGCCAGGCCGCACTCGTAGGGTTCGGGATGACTGCGGGCCCACTTTTGGTGGGTGGCAAGGCTGGCGTTGTCCAGCCCGCTCAAGCAGCGGGCCTGTCGAAGGTGAACAGCGAGTTGGCAGGCTACGGGCTTCCACCCATTTTGGACGTTCCGGGGGGATTCTCCCCTCTTGTTGAAGTGTATGGAAAAGCTGCGGGCGCGAAAAAGGAGCGCGAGACCCTGCTGGTACAATTTCTATATCCCAGTCTGTGGGTGGTGAGCAAACCTAGTATAGATAAGAATGGCGAGGAAGGTACGATTTCCGCGGGCGACTACCAGAAAGGCGACTCGGCTGCATTCTACGTTGAAGAGGGCCCTGCGTCTGGAAAACTCGAGCAAGAATCAGCAGACTACTTCGGGGAGGTTGTGAAGCGTGCCATCGGGCAGAAAAGCCAGAACGTGTACCAAAATTTCAAGGTTCTCAAGAAACGCCCTGGAGCTAAAGGCGCCAACGGGGCGCAGTACACGATCGTCGAATTCAAGTACGAGCTTCTGACGGGGGCGGGTTTCACTGTTGATCGTAAGGGAGTCGCCAGTGTCACGCAAGTGGGCAAGAACGTGCAAGGTTTGTGGGTCGCCACCACGGCTGCGCGGTGGAAGAAGATCGGTAACGATTGTATAACAATGGCTGATTCCTTCCGCGTCTATGATGGCATCGCACCCGCTTAGGAGACAATCGACAGGATAGGTACAGAGTAGCCAATTCAACAGTGTGGGTACTTAGTATTTGTTACTGGAATTGCCAGTAATCACTGATTGTGCGGCGATGTCGGTACGCACATCGCGCGCACGGATTTGCCTGTTCTGTTACCACCACGCTCAAAGCAGAGGACATGGGCCCGAGATGGTGGGACAAATGGGATGTATTGCGCGCGTCCACTTCGCAGAAGATGCGATCTAGAGCTTGAAAGAATTTATTATTGTCATAACTTTTGCCTCGCGAAGGAGTGATGAGATTTGAATCAAATTTACGTTGACTCAACCTTTTCACATTTATTTGATGCTAAGATTTTATTTAAAATTAAAACTTCTATATCATCCCCTCGATTCTGATTAGGCCTGCAGATGCCAGTTTCCGTAGTTTGCTTGCAATTGTTGGACTGCACAAATGTTGCTGAAGAACACGTCCACTTTTGCTGGTTGTACAGTTGTGTAGGATCACCTGCATGGTGGGGTCTAGTAGAATGTCGCGCAGCTCGTGGTCTCGGAGAATATGAATGGCAGCCTCTTGCTCTTTCCTATCTCTTTCGATGTCCTCCACCAAGCAAATTTTTTGCTTGTTTGCGAAAGCCCCTTCAATCAATGGACCACGACACCGAGAAAGCGCAGAAGCTTCACTGTCGACTTCTTCCTTTCGCAGCTCGGGAAAGTTTGCGGCTATTACATCAACAATTTCCTCCAAGAACTTCATGACTGAAGCATTGCCCTGGTACCTGGTGATGGCAGCTTGAGGATCGCAGGCAAGTTCATTCAGGACAACCTTTAATTCAGGATTTTTTAGTTTATTTTGAAGCGTTGGTGGAAAGACCATTTTTCCAAGCAGATGCTTAGAAGACGACGATCTGGTCGAGCGCTGCTTGACATTCGCCCTCCTCCCATCATTCCCCCCCCCCCCAATTCTGCTTGCCAAGTTTTAGAGTCAGTTATTCCCTCCTTTAAGAATCCATTCTTGAAACCACTCCCACAAAAGTCATCGGCGGTAGACACTTCTTTCGGTGTGCTACATTTTCGAGGGCTTCCGTGGACAGCAATTATCATTTCATCTAGTAAAGTCAAGCTTCGCTCTTCCTCCTCTTGCATGATGTAAAAGTTACCTGTGCGTAGATCGGCAGATTTCAGCCATAGACTTTTTCATATTTTTTGCCAACATCTTTTAGAACAAGCCTTCCAAAATATTTTGCAAATATATCGCTCCTAGTCTATGCAATTTGTTTTTCATGTAAGGTTGGGAATATTTTTTTCCTTAGATCCTCAGATTCTAAGACCTTCAAGTAAGCAATAGGAACTCGGCAATATTGGAGAAGAAGCTCAAAGGGAAACCTTGAATGTCCTCACCATGTATTCATGAGCATGTTCTTGCGGGAATGAGAAGCCGCAATAACGGTTGACGAAGATGGCGCTATCATCAGCGAAATAGCGATTAACGGCCCATAGAATCAGTGTTTGCAGTGACAGGCAAAATCGGTGGATGTTCATCAGACACTGCCTTTGTCTCCATCGGCTGGCAAAAAGGGATAGGAACAGACATTATTACAGGTCGCGAGCAGTATATACATCGCGGTTTTGGAAAATGTGCCGAACAACGATAAGAGCCGGGCCCATAACGAGATGCTCATGATGCTCATGGCTTACCTCCATGCTCGTAAAACCAACAAATCAGTGGAATTTATTGATTCTGTGGCGCCGAAAGTCTAGATTATTTAACTAACCGAACATTACTAACCATAGGGTTTCATGTTAAACATGCCGTTGCACAAGAAGCGCACTCTGCGGAGGATGTTTGTAGCGGTCACGCCCGCCATTGTCCGTACTCTGCTATTGGGCACTCTTGCTGTGGTCTGCGCCTTCCCGTTTCTATTTTCTTCCTTAAGCGAAATAGAGCCATTGACGTATAGATTTACATTGCCAAAAACTTCACTTAATGCTCTGCGTTACGAAGTGGCATCCGTAAAAGAGGAGACGCCAACTCTCCCGGCGCGGAAACGTCAACAGGAACAGGATGAACATCAGTCCAAGAAGTTTGTAAGGGCGGTCACCTCCGCTAGAAGCGCTCCAGAGAAAGCAGTTGGGACTCATGGCAATTTTAAGACGGCTGCAGCTTCACTTCCTGCCGCACATATGGGCTCTCACCTTGACAGTGGTGATAAGAAAACACCAGAATACCACCAGAAGATGGAATTCATCGTTTTAGAGGGCTCTGATCCGATCAAGAAAGCACTTGTCCAGCACCAAGCTAAAGATGACATTCACGTATACATGGACTGGCCCTTACCCGCAACACGATTTTCCCTTCCCAACTATCGATCATTGGAATCGGTGCTCACGCAGTACCCGAATGCGCACGTCCGCATTTTGATGGTAACACCCTCCCGAGCTGCGCGCCATGACTATGCGAATACGCTATCGTCTACACAATTTGAAAAATATCGCAAACGCGGTTACGATGTACAGTTTGAGGTCCTGTCTGAGAAAACCGTGTTGGAACTTCATGAGCCAGACCGTCCCGGATTCACGTATTTCACCACTGTGCTCTTTCCTCGCCTGGAGAAGACAATATTCGACGAGTCTTTCTTTACGAAGACAGAGAATGCTGTCCAGGATTTCAAGACAAACCACTTCTTTCGCCTGTTTTCCCTCTGGCGCACTGGCGGCATTTACACGGATTTCTCCATGTTGTTCATCCGGCCTCTGCCGCCCCGAGAGGCATCTTGGAGCTTCCCAGAAGAGTGCGGCTCCGTGACGTCAAAAACGTCGGCAACCGATGCCACCGTTCACTTTAACGACGAACACTGGCGGTACTCGGGCAGCCAAAATCCGTATGTCCTGCACTTTGAAGCGCAGAGTCCTGTACTTGGTTGTGTTCTGTCTCGCTTTGACGACAAGAGCGACACGCTGCACGAGTGCATGCTCAAAAGTACGAAAAGCGGTTCCGATTGCCTGCAAGAATCATTGGTACGGTGTGGTGCATCCTCTCCGGGCGCCAAAGGCGACTTAGCCGACCACATAGAGTCCTTCGTCGATTGGTCAGCGTGTAATAGCAGTCAGAGCGGAAAAGTTGTGCCACCACCTTCTCGTAATGTTGCAATGCTGGCGATGGCCCGCGAGGCTATGGAAGGAAGCTGGCAAGTTTCATCAAACCTGCGCGCGCTTTTTGAAAAGAATGTCTACTTGAATCGCTGGCATCCCTCGCAGGTTGATTCGCACTGTGCGAGGCAGTGTGACTTCTACACGCATGCCGTCGCCCGTGCGCGAGCTCCTTTCCATCAAACCAAATTCTCCCTGTCAAAAGAAGATGCAGAGGCCTCCAAGTATATTTGTGCACCCTCTATCATTATACCAGGCGCTATGAAGGCCGCGAGCTCGAGCCTTTTCGCAGCCATTGCCGAACACCCGCAAGTGTTGCGACCAATACGAGGACAGGGCTTCAAGGAAACAGGCACCTACATGAATATCCCGGGTAAGGATCACTTCAAACATCGACTGCAGGCTTTCCCTTTCATTGAACCCGGCGAGAACTTTGTTGCGATCGATGGAACTATGTACTACCTGGATAGAGACGAGAGTGCCAAGCAGATCGTTGCCGATACTCCTAACGTGCGAGCGATCATCTCTCTCAGAGATCCAACACTTCGGGCATTTGATCAATACCGCAGCGATTTCTTCAATGGAACGGAATCATTTGCAGACGCTGCAAAGCTTTCTGTACCAATTTTACGAACATGCTACCAGGAGCATCTCGCGCATGTTGACATCCGTGCTCTTCTACGGCATGGGAAAGCATCAGAATTGTCCGGGCAAATTGATTTTTGCACGTCCGCGCTGATGCGCACGCCATCCCGGCGCGCCATTTTAACTTCTTTATACTTTCCTCAGGTGTTGCGCTGGTCCTCAGTAATCAGCAAAGATCGGCTTTTAGTAGTCACGAAAGAGGAGCTGAGTCGCGATCCCGAGCCGGTTCTGGCCAAAGTCTTTGAATTTTTAGAACTTTGCAAATTCAAGAAGACATTCAAGGCAGAAAACATTTCCACAATGCCCATGCCAGCAGGATATGGACTTACAGAGCAAGCCTTGATTGAGTTGAACGAGGCTTTTCAACCATGGAATCACGCTCTTGCCCGTCTCGTGGATCGTCAGTTTGATTGGCCGAGCCCTAGTGAAGCGCTGGTCAAAGCGAAATTGCAATTTCATCGCATTGTCATCTTTCAAAAAATTGCCAATGCACAAACAACTTGCATGGATTGTAAGCGCATTCACGCACATTTGGCTGCTCAGAAGGGTGTCAACCCTGATACTGATATTGAAGTGGTCGCGTTGCGTCACGACGATTTAGCCTGGACAGACGTCCTTAAAGCGACTGGAGATAGTGCAAAGTTAACAGACTCCATGCCATATGTTTTTATACAAGGTGTTTACGTCAAAGATTTAAAAGGTGGCGAAGAGCATGATGAAGGTAATCTGAATACGCTTGTGGTTGCCTTGTCCAAAGCACATGAATTAGGAAACCATCGGACCTATGAACCTTTTTTAGATGACTAGAAACCTACAAACTGTGAACATAGTAGAAGGGGAGTAATGACGCTTTTAAAGAAATGTAACCAATGAAATGAAAGAGTTTGCCTATTAGGAATAGAATTTGTGCTAGTTTTAAACAAGATCCGTCTTTTCAATGCCATACCAATAATTTGGTCGGAATGTCTACAATTTATCGATATACTTTGCGCAGCACACCTTGCTGCACTCGCGTACTATACGCCTATAGATGCATTGCATATGGTTGTTTGAATTTAACGGTTCAGCGTGTGAAGGGAACGATGTCATATGTTCCATGGCATTTTTTCATGAATGGTTTGACGTTATGAATTCATAGTTTTCATGATGACAAATCCAATCGAACATTCCGTGTCTACCAAAATCAATTTTGTAAGTATGTAGTACGTTGCACGGTACTTCAATTCAAATCATGAGAAGAAGCCTTCATATTTGAGCAACGATGCGAGTCGTATTAGCGTGGAATACGGCGGACCAGCACTACAGATTGCCATGCTTTCTTCCACTTTCAACAGCATTTCGGGGGGGGGGATAAGGCCCTCTTGTCAGATCGCCTTCTATCCTAGACAACTGTTGCCACGAGAAAGCCAACAGGCCTATGAGCGCAACCACCACCACCTCACTCCTATTCGAAGTTAGCTTCACGTCCAGTAATCGTTTCCCTAGGGTTCCTATTAGTAAACCTGCCCCCAAAATTCGCGGCTTCCACCGTCGTACACAAGCAAGCGCTCGGCTGCAGGACGCGCAGTGTCGGGTATGCTGATGGTATCGATCAAGGAGTACGTCAGGAAGTGTCTTATAATCAAGCTCCTCAAGAGCATCCGCGGTTAGAGCACCGAAAGGACCGCCTTTGCCATACGTGTCAATCCATCTCCGAAACTGGGCTACAAATAAGTCAGCCTTGGTGGGCATGTAGTATCGCTTGACCCAGGAAGCAGAACTGCTGCCGGCAGGGTCAAGTAATCTTCGCTCCTGCACTGCCAGAAAAATATTGTCGTCATCCAAGACCCGGTTTTGTTGGAGATGCTGCATCCAGTCCGGAATGCTGAGGAAGATGGCGCGCCGAAGCCTGGATGCCCAGGACCTCCCTCTGAGCGGAGAGGCAGGTGGTGTAGTATTAAAGCCACCAAGGCTACCCGTGTCAGTGACCGGATCGGGAAACTTGAAAGGAAAACGCGCCAATATGCGGCATTGTCCTGGACGGGAGGGAGTGGCGTACGTGACGGTCCACGTGGAGACCTCAGGGGTGGATATGAGGTGATGCATGTAGCTAGGAGCGTTGAAAAGGGTTTCCCGCTCAACACGCCCCAAGTGCTTCTTGGTCATGGGACTCGCCGGGATGTTGCGCTCCCAGGTCCCTCGGAACCCTGCCAGGGTCACCTCAGAGGTGAGCTTCAATGGCACAGGACTCGCATAGGAACGGCGGCCAATTGTGGCATGGTGCGTGAAAGGCACGTGGGATGGATCCAAGAGGTTTTCTTTCGCTTGCTCATACGAGTAGGGCACGTCACGGCTCACATCCAAGCAAATCAGGTCCTCGTCCACAAGCGGGGGGCACAAAGGGATGAGATCGACGCTTGGCGTACGGCCGCATAAGGACTGCAATGACTGTCCCCACACCCATATGATACCCTGAGCGACCGTTGTAGGATAGGCTGCCACAGTCGCCGCCGTCCGAGCGTCTGGAGGGACCTCACCGTCCTCCAGCTGCGGGATTCGAGTGCACTTGCCCAGCTTTCCTTCGAACGTCCATCCGTGGTAAGGGCACTCGATGCATCCCGTGGATGGATCAATACGTCCCTCGCTAAGGGGTGCAAGACGATGTGGACAGGCATCTTTGACCGCATTCCAGCGCTTTCCATTGTTGTCCCACCATATTACAATTGGGATGGACAGAAGCTCGAAAGGATAAGGCCTCGTTTTGTCTGTCACTGACTCGAAGGCGATTGGCCACCATTGGGCCTGCCAGTCAATCGATTTGTATGTATTTACCATACTTGACTCAGAAACTGCATATACTTTTACTTGTGCATCGTGCGGCGGATTAAAGGGCCACTTAGTCGGTTGCGAAGATAAGGCGAATGAGTGCGCGTGATGGGACAAAAATAGCACAGCAACTAAGCAATATAGCCGAGATGCTTTCGGAACCTTGGAGTAGATGGATTTCATGGCCGTTTATTTCTCTTGGAAGTGTGTTTCGTTGACAAATGCCGGTGTCTAGATCAGGTGTGACCCCGTAGAGTACACCTGAGGATGCGAATTTGCCTCTCGAGAACACAGGGTTGCCTTCAGAAGACGGCGATTATTTTTATATTCCGAAAAATGAAGCCTTGAGATAAAACGCTAACGTGAAAAGGAGATAGAGGAGATCATCAACAGCGTGGAGCATAGGGCTAGACGGAGGGGTGCCTGGGACGCGCAGGGCATCGGGGAGGTTAAACCCCTCCTTACGTCCAAAGTGCTGCGAGAGATGAACCAAAACATGCCTGCTTGAAAATGGCGCACTCGTCATTCGACAGGTAATCTCCTCAGAGCCTGATCGAGTTCTGGAGGCCTGTGCGTCTTTCAATACGGCATGCAACCAAGCTCTCCCGGCATGGCCTTGGCGCTCGCGGTGCCTCGCTCGCTCGCTTCCTGCTCCCTCCTCTTCCCCTTCCGCTCTTGCCGCCTTCGGCCCGCTAAAACACCCGCGACTGCCGGATTCCTGTTGGGACATTTCGCCATTCACTTTGCTCAATGTGCAACTTCATTCAAATGTTGGGGGCGTGGACTTGTCAACGGCTTTTCGAGAGATATGAAGCCGGGAAATTGATTCGGGAAGTGGGCGATTCTAGTAATCCGCCCGGCACTCCACAGGGAGCATACCTTGTCTAGCCCGCTCATTGCTACCCTCCACACCGCAATACAGGATTATGGCGCTGAACATTGACCAGACCAAATTCCTGGAGGAGGCGATGCGCAAGGTCAAGGAGCAAGCCTTCTACATGAAGCATGCCATGGTAGGGATAGAAGTGTGGAACATCATCCCCCCTGCCTCTCTCTGGTCTTTTACTTGTCTCGCCCCGGGCTCCTACCCAGCAATAGTTCGTGAAAAGGGCATCCTTCTATGTCGTCCTCTCATGTCTCTGTTTGCGCCGGGAAGTGGGCCTTTTCATTCTGTTGATCTCCTCACGTTACCAGACACACGCGCTCGCAAGTTAACTTTCCCCCGTCTTTTTTCCTCCCCAAGGACAATGAGGACTTGAAAGGGACGCTGACTCATGCGTCAGACATGTTGCGGGAGCTTCGAACGGGCCTCCTGACTCCTAAAAGCTACTATGAGCTGTACATGAAGGTGTTGGATGAACTCCGTTACGTGGAGGACTACTTCACCGGTCTGCAGAAGCAAGGGAAGCCGGTCGTCGAGCTCTATGAAAAGGTGCAGAGCTGCGGGAATGTACTCCCGCGTCTCTATTTACTCATAACTGTCGCGGGTGTCTATATCAAGTCTTTGGAAGCGCCGGCGCGCGACATTCTCAAAGATTTGGTAGAGATGAGCAAGGGCGTGCAGCATCCCATGCGCGGCCTTTTTTTGCGAAATTACCTCTCCCAGGTGAGCCGCGACAAGCTACCTGACGTGGGCACCCCGTATGAAGGAGAAGAGGGCGGTAGTGTGCAGGACGCATACGAATTCATTCTCCAGAACTTCTCGGAGGCAAACCGACTATGGTGCCGCATGCAGCAGCAGCCGACCAACGCGCACAACAAGGACAAGAAGCGACGGGAAAAGGAGAGGCAAGAGTTGCGGATACTGGTGGGAACCAATCTGGTCCGCCTCAGTCAGCTCCAGGGCGTGGAGGCGGCCACCTACAAGGAGCACATCCTCCCGCGCCTCCTGGAGCAGGTGGTGCAGTGCAAGGACACCCTTGCCCAGTCCTATCTGATGGAGTGCATCGTCCAGGTCTTCGGCGACGAGTTCCACATCGCCACGCTCGACCTCTTCCTGGCCGCGTGCACGCAGCTGAAGGAGAAGGTGAATGTGCGGGCCATTTTGGAGGGCGTAATGGACCGGCTGGCGACCTTTGCTGAGGCCAACCCCGCCGCCATCCCCCCCCACCTCCGGACTTTCGACATGTTCAACACCTGCGTGAGCAAGCTCCTGGAGGAGCGTCCGGGCTATTCGGTGGTAGAGGTGCTGCGCCTTCAGGCCTCCCTCCTCAACTACGCCCTTCATTCCTTCCCCGGCAACCTCGAGTACCTGAACCTAGCTCTCGGGAATTGCGCCACGGCCCTGGCAGACAAACGGGCGGCCCATCAGGAGCAAGCCGTCATCGTGGCGCCCTTGCCCTTTGCCCTGGACAGCGAAGGCGTGGAGGTCGTGGAGCGCCTCCTCACTCTCCCCTTGGCCTGTCTGGCGCTGAAGGTGCTGGAGCTGCCACACTTCGCCTCCCTCCTCGAGTTCCTCCCATGGGCGAGCCGGCGCCAGGTGGGCGTGACACTCCTCCAGGCTGTGTACAACTCCCGGGCAAAGCTGAGCGACCTGGAGAGCGTGGAAAAGCTGCTGGAGATGGTGGTGCCTGTGATCAAGGAGGAGCCCTCCTCGGTGCTGGGCTCCGAGGAGGGCCAGGCTCTGCGGCGGCAGCAGAACGGGGAGGGAGGGGTGGAGGACGCAGAGGAGGAGGACGAAGCCGGCGCTTCCCGGTCGCGGGGGGGGGGGTCCACAGGGAGCACAGAGAACGGGAAGGCACGGAGGCTGGAGGAGGAGCAGCTCCTGCTCGGGCGCCTGGTGCATGTGATGGCGAGCCCGGACACGGATATGCATTTCAGGTTCCTGACGGTGGCGCGCCGGCACTTCAGCGAGGCGCCCAAGGACCGGTTCCAGTACACGTTTCCACCCTTGGTCCTGGCGACCTTGCAGCTGGTGCAGCGGGTGCGAAGACGAGAGGTGGCGGCTGAGGGCGCGGACGGCAAGCAGGAGGGAGACACGCAGGGGGGCCGCGCGGCCTCGGAGGGTGCCTCCGAGCAGGCGGCCGCGGAGGATGGCAACGGGGTGCTGGGGTTGAAGAAGAGAGACGTGCCGGGCGTGCAATTTGGCTGCCGGAAGCTCTTCCAAGCCGTGCACGAGATGCTCACCTCCTTGGCCCCGCATTTTGCAAACCTTGCGCTGAAACTTTTCTTGGAGGCCGCGCAGGCCGCCGATCGATGCGAGGCAGACGCCTTCAAACTCATCTCGTACGAATTCGTGACCCAGGCCTTCTTGCTGTACGAGGACGAGGTCACGGACTCTAAGTCCCAAATACGGGCCCTGACCGCCATGATTGGCACGCTCCTGCAGGCCCGCCACTTCGACGAGAGCGACTACGATGCTTTGAGCACCAAGGTCACACAGTACGCAGCCAAACTCCTCAAGAAGCCCGATCAGTGCCGCATGGTAGCCTTGGCCTCCCATCTCTTCTTCGTCGGTCGTGCCGACGAGCCTGGCCATTACCACGACCCCAAGCGTGTCATTGAGTGCCTACAGCGCTCTGTCAAAACCGCCGACATGTGCATGGCCTCATCCCAGCATATGCACCTATTTGTAGAGGTCCTGAACCACTACTTATACTTTTACGAATGCGGTTGCCCTACTGTAACAGAAAAGTACCTGTCAGCTCTAGTGGCCTTCATAAACGACAAGCGGAACGAGGCGGCTCTTGTGGGCGGGGGGCCGGCGGAAGGAAGCTCACGCGCCGCTGAGATAGAAGCATACTATAAAAATACGCTTGACTATATCCGCTTGAAAAAGACTCAAACGGATAACAAAGAGCTGGCAGACAGGTTTTCCGCTATCCAAGTGTAATCATGAAAAGGAGATAAGAAGTTGCCTGTCATCCCCGGGATGTGGGAAGGTTTTTGCCGCTTGTGTAAAGGAATGACCCGAACGCATGTGAAAAAATGAGCTTGGCTCGATTTTATGTTTAATTTCTTTGTCGCTCTTTGCCTGTGATGGATATGGAGGAACGCCCTCTTTCCATTCAATAGTACGTTCCCGTTATGCTCTCCGATTGCACGGCAGGCGTATACGGCCCCCCCCGGGAGCGATATCTCGATGACTTTGCCGCCTGATGACTTTTTGATTTTCTTTGGTCCGCCCATGTCGTCACATCGTTTCTGATGCACCATTCGGTTGTTCCCCCGAGACATATGCTCGCAAGCTATTTATATTATTTGCGCGGTAGTGCGATAGTGATTTTAAACCATCATGTCCCTTTTGTGTGAAGGGCGATGTCGTCTTCTCAGCATCCACAACCTAAAATATTTCTACTAGAGGGCCCCTACATGTGATCGACAACTGTCAGTGGTAGTCATGGCGGACTTTTGTGATCTCACTGAGGACTTGGCTTCGCCGGTAAAGGCCCATGGCCAAGAAACAGTAATCCTCAAAGACGATCAGGACGACGAGGACAACTTGCTGAACGACCCATTTGAGGCTGTAGGGTTGCCGGCCCCTCCCATAGACGTCTCCACAAGTTCTTTGACACAGACAAGTGATTTTATCGTCCGCTCATGTCGGATGGCAAGCAGAGAAGAGGAGGATGAGAGGGGGGAAAGAGGAAATGACAAGTTCCAGGGCGGGGCGGAGCACACGCGAGGAGTTTCCACATCGCATGAGAGGAGAATTCTATCCACGTCTTTGAACGGAAGGTCTGATGAGCACATCAGTAGGGTAAGAAAAGAGAGAAGAGCGGCGGTCAAGGCAGAACGGGAAGCAAAACAGGTGGAGGAACGGATAAGAAAAGCTCGCGCAAAGCTGATATGCGACTCGCAGCGTGGCTTGTACAAACATGAAGAAATTGTCATGGTCGTTGAAAAGCGGCTCCGACATACACCCTTGGGTGAAGTCATTGCCGACATCAGACGCAGCGAAGAATTCAAGTCAAAGCAAATTTTCGTCGCGGGGCCGGGGTGTGCAGAGGAGGAGGATGAAATGCCTGAGGCGGCTTGTTACCACCCTGGACTGATTATGTGGGCCCGCATGCCCAAGCCGCTGTGGGATAGCGAGGAAGAATGCCCTCGGCATAGTGGTCCGTTTGTGGAGCAGCTAGGACTGGTAATAGTAGTATGGGACGCTGGCGAATTTTGCGACAAGCTGGCTGTGGATGCGCGAGGCATTTGTCGGAGAAGGACCGTCGGAGACAGTCGCATCGAAACGGTCGGAACCGTCGTTGGCAGTTACGACACCCTTCAGCACGCCATTCAAAGTATCCGGCTAAGCCCAGGGATACCTGCAGACTCTCGGGTTGTGTTGGTTTTGCAGGGTGTGAAAGCAGAGATCGCTTCCCGGTGGAGGCAGAGGGGTGGAGGAGCCGTTGAGCAGGGCGCGCGCCTGACAATGGACGACTACGCCGATGCACTCGTGTGGATGCTTCTGGCTGAGGGCATCGAGTACAAGGAGACCAAGGACGCAGCAGAAACGGGAACGTACCTGCGAGACGTAACGCGCGCCTTGGCAGAGGTGCCCTTTCGTGACACGGCCACGGAGTTGAGCAGCGCCGCCAAGGGAAAGGCTATCGTCAATACAGGTCTTGGAGGGAATAGGGATGAAGCCCTGGTTTTTGCCAGCAGCACGCAGGGCTTGAGCCAGGCTGACAAAGTGGCCACAGCATGGGCGCGCCAGCTCGAGGTCGTCCCCGGCATGAGTGATGTAAGTGTGGGAGTGCGTGCCCCGTTCGTGCGTCTCGTTCTTTCCCGTGGTTTCCTCCGCTCGTGAATATAATTGGAATCTGATGATATATTCACGGTACGAATTGGCAGACAAAAGCGCTGCACATCGTCAATAATCACCACGGGACGCTTCGAAGCCTACTCGATGTGTACCAGGACCCCAAGTACTCCGAGGAAGAGAAAATGAACTGGCTTGCGGACAAGATGGAGAGTGTGTCGGGAACGAGGGTAAGTGCACTGAGATGTCTCTGAGGTTTATGCTCCTACTTCTGTCCTTTTTACACACCGTTATTTGACTCCTTCCTCGTGACACTTGCATTATAGTCCGTTCCGCGTTACTTTATTCATTGCTTTGCTTTTTTCGGGCTCAATTGCCAGAAATAATGATAATAATGACGACAAATAAGCTTTGTTTTGCCTTGCATCACTCATTCGTAGAGTCTCTTTATTTAGATGCTTTCTAAATGTATTTCCTTTTTCAACTCCGAAGGCCCCGAAACAGTTTAAAAGCCTCTCCATGAAGATCTACCAATGCTTGACCGCACACGAGCCCCAATCCCTAATAAATGAATGTGGAGACAACAATAAAGGGAAAAGAAAATAACGCTCCTGGAGGGAGTTCATGGGCGAAAGAGCTCATGAGAGACAGGGGCCACGGACATCAAACGAGGGAGATGGATTACAGAATTTTCACCAGTAAATAAAATTGAGAATTTTGAACACATTTTAAAGTTATTAATCCATATTCTTTCTGTAAAATTTTAAGCCTCGAGATCTCCCGCGCCATGTGACGGTCTGCTTCTCGGCTTCTCAGGTTTGTTCGGATAACTAGTCTGCGTGCCGTTTCGTGCGCGCTTGTTCATGTCAGTTGCTATTCTGGCTTCCCCCTCTATTCTCGTAGCTGTCTGAAGCATCTTAATTGCCAGAAGAAATGCGAGGATAAAGGCTCCACCTTCGGCGAGCCACGACATTCCAATAGAAAGCCTTGCTTTGCTGTCTTCTTCCTTAGTGCTCAACGATACGACAAGTGCCACCCACACGCCCAAACACGTCCCGAAACATAATGCGGCCATAGAGAAAGTTCCTGCAACTATTTTGGTCAATGGAGCTTCAAAACGTGTGCGGACTGCGTTCGTAGCCAGAAGGGCGAGCAGGACCGACACGGCGACAAGCAAGCAGACACCCGCACAGGCCGCTACTCGACAGACTTGCAGCTGCGCACAGTAAGGGCCGTCAAATGAGGGACTGCTCGCGTCACACCATTCCAGTCGAAAAACTTGTCTTCGGCCTGCGATGTGAGCTATTCCATGCCAGAGGCCCAAATTGACTTTCGCAAAGCCGTCCGAGCCGCTTACCATGGCCATCCCGCTTGCAAATTCCGCTGTCAATACGGCACCAAGGGCAAAAATCACGCATAGTGCTGTCATGTATACTCCTATATAATTTTACACAATTTGTGAGATTTCATCGCAAAAATGTGTGATAGATGCAACCTAGACACGACAAGGGAGGAAATACTCTGGCCCCCTACAGCGTTGTACGTTGGGGCTTCGACACTCCATATCAACAATTGTCATGCAACGACATTACAAGAATAAAAGATGTACGTGTCGACTTACCTGGTAAGTAGAGGCGGTTCAGGATTAGCGCCATGCTTGTCCTGTTTGCTTGTGTGTTTTAATGTACGCATAAACAGGCATGCCATGCCGACATGAGGCCTTTAATATCTTGTCATATTCCCATTCATCCACCAACTTAAGAAATCCGCGTTCATCTCCAAACAAGCTAAAACACCCTTGTATAATTCAAATTAGGCCTTCACCTTTACAGCTTCTAACCATTTGACGATCGATGCGGGCGAGAAAGAGGGATCGTAGGCTGAGAGCACTCAGGTCGGCCCATTCGCCACAATTGCGCGAAGCTAGACAACGGTCGGGGCCTTCGATTCGGCCGGGGAGGATCGGAACGGGGGCCCTGGATGGATCGGAACGGATCGGAACGGGGGCCCTGGATGGATCGGAACGGATCGGAACGGGGGCCCGGGTTGGAGCGGATCGGGATGATGATGACGATCTGGTCGTCTCCCCCTTCTTTGCGTGGCTCACGCGCCGACGCTTGCCGCGTCGAATGTCGAAGATGCGTGCGGTCAGGTCGGCAAAGAGTTTTTCTCACGAAGCCCTTCCTGGGTAAAACCCTTGGTGAGCCTCGATGCATGCAAACTCTCGCAGTGCATCTTGTCTCGCCTTTGGCGGGTATCAACGTCTCCAACACGACCTTCAGAGATGGAGGAAACCCAAGAACAACGAAGGACGAATCTCAGGAATATATGCAGGCGTTCCAGTTCATCGAGCGGCGGGAAAGAAATTTGCCAAAGACACAAATATCCGCAATTTTGGAGGAGCGCTACAGAAGAGCAATATTTTAGTGTCTTAATAAGACATTGTGTATGGGCTGTACTGGATAGGCGACTTTGTGCAGTCGAATGGGAATGGGAGCGACTTATGTGTCGAATGATCTTGCGGTGGCCAAGGCAGGCATGCAAACGCCCGCCTAAGAGATGCGATTTAGCTTACAATTTTGGACGACTTCTGAGACGTTTCCCGCTACGTTGGAATGTTTTCAAAAGTACCGATCTCTCGTAGTCGTGACCGTCTGCTTCGACGCGGTCTCACTCTTGATTCACGGGGCATATACTATTCAAGCGGCGGCCATCGGATGCGAGAATCATCTCAAAATCTTAAGCGTAGCCAACGCTTTTGATCGAGCTTACCACTAAAGTAATCCTCATTAATTTTGCCCTGTCGCACAGGTTGGACATCACTCGCCGGCCTGCCGTATTTCCAGGGCGACTCCGCAACCAACGAGAAATTGAGCTATCGATCCGGCCGGAAGTCCCATCCCCGTCGCTTGGCTTGCATCTATCTCCGCTCCGCGACGCAAACAATGTGCAATGTTCCTCGCGATCACATGACTATGGCTGCCAAAGCCCGGGCCTGGCGAAATGAGAAGTAAGTACTGCTGGGTAGAAGGAGTCTGGCGGGCCGTTTGACGTCCCATGGTCCTCGCAGAGATAATTGAACAGCTCATTACGAACGCCATTAGAAGCGAGGACATTTTTGAAGGAGAACACACAATGAGGGAAGGGGCCTTACATCCCGCTATTCTCCTCCTTGATCCGCAGGTTCAGGGCCATCAAGAACAGAGCCCGGCGCACTCGGGACAAGATCAAGGGCCGACTGCAGCCCAGCTTCTCTTTCATCGCTCGTTTCATTCTGCGCAGTGTGCTTCTTCTGTTGATCTGCGCATTCGCCCCGCTACTCCTCATTTTTGCGCTCTTTCACGATTGGTTGATGAAAAAATTCATCAACTATGCCTACATATACAATGTAAGCTGGGAGGACCCCCGCATGGATCAGGAAGTCTTCAATTTGAAGGACGACGACCATGTCATCACAATCGCATCTGCTGGCTGCAACGTGTTGGACTACATTATTGAGGGGGCCCGCGTCACGGCGGTTGATTTCAACGCCTGCCAGATTGCCTTGACCGAGTTGAAATCAGTGGCGATCCAGCGTCTGGAGTTTCCTGAGTTTTTTGCTATTTTTGCCAAGAACGACACGGCACTCCTTCGAAAGCTCTACCCAACCGTCCTCCGACCCGGGCTATCCGCGGCTTCGGCTGAATTTTGGGACCGATACGTGGTGAAGATTCAGTCCTTCATGTACTCGGGCTCGTCGGGCTTTCTCGCCTTCCTGGCCTTCCGCGTGGTCTTGCCACTCCTGCATCTGGGCTGGATCCGACAGGCTATTTTACAGCGCATGTCCAAGGACGATTTTCTGGTCTTGTGCCACACCCACGAAAAGCAGATCGCGATCTGCTCCTGGCTCCTCGACACCATGCTGCCCTGTTTCGCGCTCTTTGCGGGCGTACCTCGTCGTCAGATGAACCTTGGCTTCGGCCGGGAAAACTTCAGCGTGATCGTCAACCACGTCTTGTTCAATACTGACCTGGTACATGACAACTACTTTTACCTGGGGTACATCCTGGGAGAGTACACGGAAGAGTGCTGCCCGCGGTATTTAAAGGCCGAGAACTTCGCTGCCATGAAGAAGCACCTCCTGGCTGGCAAGCTCCATCTCTTCCACGGGTCCATTGAACAAGCCATCATGAAGAACGCGGCCGACGGAGACGAGCTTTTCACCGTCGCCTCCTTGCTCGACCACATGGACTGGATGGATAAGGGCATGGTGACGTCCGAGATCTCCCTCTTGGTACAGCGCATGGACCAGGAACGCGGCCGCATTTACTGGCGCTCTTTCTCGGAGAACGTTCACATCCCGCCCCTCGTCTGGATGGGGGCCCAGAAGGTGGATGACATCTACGAGAACAGCATGGGGGACCGGGTGGGCATGTACTTCTCCACGTGGATCGCGAACCTGAAGGACAGCGAGTTCGTGGTCACCCCTCGTTGCCGCTCCTGGCGCAAGACGGGGGGGCGTACCGCTCCGGCCTGGCGGCACAGTTGTTGACGGGCGCAAAGATTGTCACAGCCCCCGTCTGGAAGCGCGTGGTTCAGGCCAGCAGCGGCAAGGAGAGGCTGGGCGGCAAGGCAGACAGCAAGAACGGAGAGGGACGCACGGACAGTGCGCATGAACGAGACATGGAGGCATTCTACAAATTTCAAAAGGAGGGCTATGACGGCTTCCGTGAGAACTTCTTGCATGCGCGCATGGACCTGATCCAAGCCATGCCCCTCAAGAGGAAGGGTGGCATGGTATGGATCGACGTTGGCGGTGGCACGGCCCGCAACCTGGAGTTCATTCCCGTCGAGATCCTGCGCAAATACTTCAAAGCCATATACGTCGTCGATGTATCTCCGTCCCTGCTAGGAGTCGCCCAGCAGCGTGTGGCAGCGGCTGGCTTGACCGACTTGGTGCACCTGATCGAGCACGACTTCACGGCCCCGTCTATCTTCAAGACCCTGCCCTTCCTGGAGGGGAAAGTCGACATGTTGACTTTCTCCTATTCCCTCTCCATGATCCCCGACAAAACCGCCGCCCTGGTAAACGCCCTCCGTTTCCTCCAACCCAACGGCCATGGCGTGCTTGGTCTGGCAGATTTCTTCTTGGCCTCAAACGAGGATTCAGGCTTGCCCACCATGCTCGCCTCGCTCCGGCGTATGGAAGCCACCTTCCAGCGGAAATGGTTCGAGCAGGACCGCGTTCACCTCATCTCTCCCGCCATTCTCAAGCGTCTGGAGAAAGCAACGACGTGTGTGTGGGACGAACGCTTTCGCGGCGGAGTGCCCCTCTTGCCGGTGCTCCGCCCGTACCACGGTGCTTATGTCGCCTTGACCGGCAAATCAAAAGCCCAGTAGGATAGAAGCGAGGACCGAACATTGGCAGGAAGGTAGATGGAGCAGCATCAAGATTATGTCGTTTGAACTCTCAACTGACGGGATGTTAGTCGTGATGATAGGTCACGAAAATGTGATTTTGCGAAACAGTGCGTCCAGGCGTTAGCCCTCTGGCGGGGCTTTCGTCAACATGCCGTTGACCTCCCGGTTCATAAAGGGTCGGAGAGGTCTGTCCTTTCTGAAAATATTGAACTTTTAAACCCATCGTCCCAAAGCAGTTCTTGAAAGGATAATTTAAGAGAAAGCAAATAGTTAGGAGGCAGGAGACATGGATCCTAGATAAAGCGAACGGATAGAAGGCGGAAATATTGGAAGCTTGGCCTTGAGTTAGCTGTTGTAGCGTGTCACTGTCTTGAATTCTACATCTGTGTGTGAAATTGTAAGAGGTAGAATTGCTGATCGACAGCATTTTGCTTATCTGCACGGGGGTAAATAGTCGAGCGGGGACCTCAATTTAAGTCTTGTGCTATACATTGCGAGTACAGATCAAGCACCTGCAAAAATCTTAAGTGGAAGGAATCGCAAAAGAAGTAGATAACGGGGGAGTAACATTTAGGATCGTTCGAGTTGCTTTCACGGTTCAGAGCTTTGCGTGGACAGGAATCAATCTTTACAGCAGTACATGTCGAGCACTCCAGGCCGAGAGCCATTTCAGGTCTGTCAATAGGTACTTGAGAGCTCGGTTCCATGTGTCCTCTTCGCCGGGCGTCAAGACGATGGGTAGACCGCCGATCTTGTTGCCCTGCACCCTGTGCGGGAGGCGGATCGTGGGGTCTAGCCCCTCCACGTGGGATCCGAACTCCTCCACGCACTGCAGGAATGCAACCAGCGCCGCATTCATGTTCCGACGAGGGAAAAACGCCAGGTTGGCCTCGTCGTAGTAGAAACTCATGGCATTGCTGGCGGTGATTCGAGGACTGTTCGGCATCAACTTCGTCTCCACGTCCGTACAAGTCACATGGGGATCTCAAGATCTTGGAAAAGGAGCCGAATGGCACGAGCTCGAGGCGACGAAAGCGGAAGCCTGTTTGCTTCACTAGTGTGTCAAGCAAAAGGATCGCCTGCCCGAGTCCGGCGTTGATGTCTGTCCACTCCACTGCCGCGAAAGCGGGCAGTCGACCGATACTGCAGCCATTCATCGTGGCAAAGGGCCCTGAATGCCACACGTGAAAACAATCGTTGGCGACATTCAATTGTGTTAACGCCTCGAGTCGTGCCCCTGCACTAAGTTCTGAACCATGTGTTGCTTGATGGCTTTCGGACAAATCAAGCAGCGCCTCTGCTGCCGAATTGTTAAGTGATTGCCACAGATCAAGAAGACCTTGAAGCCGGCGCCGTTTCTTCTCTACAAGGGCTCGTCGGCGGTGCAGTGTGATGCGCCTTGCCTCCACAGCCTTCAACTTTTCGCGCAAATGCAGGATATGCGCTTCGGGACCGTCGCCTTCCGATGGCATGAGCACTTGTCAAATGTCAGGCGCTCGGGCTAGTCCAGTCTAGCGTCACGAGACCACGCACCATCTCTATGCCATCTCTGCTTTCGATATACGCACATTTTCCTCTTAGGATCTCCTTTAGGGTCTTTCTTTCATGATCATGTGACCGCGCGCTTTCCCACTCCGCGCCTGTATCGAGTGGTGTTGGGTCGTACGTAATATGTTGTGTAAGGTATAAGTTTCAGCCCCCCACAACGCTGGACAGCTTGGTCGTATGACATCAATTTGTTTCCCCTTCCCTTCGTGCCATGGATGGCAGAATGCACGCTCCGTTACACGTCCGTAGGCAACGAGCCTGACAGCCTAAGCGCAGACTCGCATGAGGGACAGGAGTAGCGATGTTACGTCGGCGACAGCATGCACGGGGGAACAACGACACCCAAGACAATCGCTTGTTTTTGAGTATACCTCCGTTCCCTTCCATTTTGTTTGTAACCACTTCTCGCGTTTGAACGTTCATTGATGCTTGCCATGCCTGACTCCACAATCGACAAGCTAAGCCTCCCCCACTTAAACTTGGCCCACGTTCGGAAGAGCGCCCCCCCCTTTTCCCCGGCAGTTGGTGCAAGCGAATCAGCGCTGGGCAAATTTTAAAGAAAAAATATAAGAGAAGACGAAAAACAAAGGACGCGAAGAGAGAAATGTCCTATTCGACCCCTCCACTGAACGTAGAAGGCAGGCATGACGCCATGGAGGAAGAGCCCTCTTCTCAGTACGCAGACCACAGGCAGCACATAGCCGAGCAAATGCTGCTGTCCAGCCCTCCAGGTCAATTTGGACATGTACTCACTGGTAAGTTTATTCGATGCGAGCCATATACTTAAAGCGTACAGAAAGGTAACTGATGTTAACACTCGCCCTAACCCCACTCCAGACCTTCGCAAACTTTTGCCAGCAAGTGTCTTGACCGAAAGCTTCGTTCAAGAGGTGACCAAGGTGTACAATGCCTGGCGAGGGATAGGGCTGGGCAAGGTTGAGGAAATGGTAAGTCTCCCATACAAAGGATGGCGGATATTGGGAGCAAGCTTTTATCCGGGTGCTTCACTTCTATCACGCTTGGCAAATGCCAGTTCAGCGCTCCGTGCGAAAAGTTGAACGGCCGACATACGATTTTTTCCGCACAATTCCACAGAGAAACCTGACAGAGGGTCAAGAGCGACTAAACATGAAGCGCCAGGAACTAGAGAGGGCGCTGGCTGGCCACGTCACGGAGAGCTACGCCTCAGACTCGGTGAGCAAGAAACAGAAGCCTCGCACCTGTGCTCGGTATTTTTTTTTAATTCACACAAATATCTAACCACAGGCGACAACCACTATGTGCTCGGTAAAAGGTTCCACCTTGCACGTGATTATCTACAGCGAGCGCGTCAACTTGGCCAACTTTTGGTCGGCCTCCTGGCTCTCAGAGTGGAGCATCGATGACGATAAGCTCTCCGGATCGATTCAGGTTCGTGGTCATGACCTCTTTTGCTGTACAGCTTGCACAACGCACACTCATTGCCAAACTAATCAGGTTCGGGCACATTATTTCGAGGACGGAAACGTGCAGTTACATGTAAACAAATCTTATCCGGTTTTGAGTGTGTCCCTAAGAAGCGACACTGCCATTATAGTTGAATGCATAAAGCTGGCCGAGGAGACATTAAGTGTGAGTTTATTACGACAAGACTTGTTTACTTTTCTTTAATTTCTTCATAAAACGATGGTCTCAATTTTCCCGCCATGGCCCACAGAAGAATATTGAGGCCACCTGTCAAGAGCTCAGCACTGAAGGCCTTCATTCCCTCAGACGCAAGCTGCCTGTGAGTAAAGTCAAGATGAACTGGTCAGATGCGGCTGCTCAAAACATAAGCAAAGTACTTCATAATAATACGGAACATTGATCGTGATGAGGCATGTGACGACCGTCCTGAAGAAAGTTTAACCTCCCCACTAGGCAGTTGCCGTTCGCGTAGCCGTATTCCGCCCTGCGACGCCTTTGCTTTTACAACGCTCACCGCTTTGTTTGAAAAATATCGCATATAAGACATTTCTGGTATAGGTATGCCAATTTGGACGTGGATGCGTCTTTCTACAACCTGTGGCGTGGTTGTAAGCGTTCTAAGCCTCGGTATTGACCGCAAAAGTATCTTCTGTCAAGGCTCACGAGGCTTATCGTCCCGTGGAAAGTCTGCATTTGCTTTCACCCCCCCAACAGCGTGGAGGCCGTCAAATTTAGCTTCGATATCTAGAAACATAAATAAAAGGTGGTGGAAGTGCTTGAAGTTGCCCAAATCCATCCAAATGCAGCTGCCATCAGAGTTTGGGTCCTCGAGTTCTGGTCCCGCTACTTTTGGCGGCACTGTCTCGCAAAAGCTTGATCTCGAATTAGAGGAGATTAAGCGCTATTCTCGTCATCTTATTCTGTCCCAGGTAGGAATGGAAGGTCAACGGACGTTAAAGGCCAGTTCTGTATTTTGCGTGGGCGCGGGCGGCTTAGGCTCTCCACTCCTGCTGTACCTTGCCGCCGCAGGAGTGGGCCGTCTGGGCATCGTTGACGACGACACTGTAGAACTTTCAAATCTGCAGCGGCAAGTCATACACGGACAGGGCACTCTGGGGGAAGCTAAGGTGCGCTCCGCGGAGCGCCGAATCAAGGATGTAAATCCCCACGTGCTGGTGGACGTGTACGAAGAGAAAATGACGGCGGAGAACACGCTTCGAATCCTGGCGCCCTATGACGTAGTGGTCGATGGGACGGACAATTTTCCGACAAGGTACTTGATCAATGATGCTTGTGTCATTCTCGGAAAGCCACTCGTGTACGGGGCGATTCTTCGCTTCGAAGGCCAAGCCTCTGTCTTCAACTACCGGGGGGGCCCGACCTATCGCGACCTTCTGCCCGAACCCCCCGCTCCAGGGGACGTGCCTTCCTGCGCAGAGGGAGGGGTGCTGGGTGTGCTGCCGGGTGTGATTGGTTGCATTCAAGCCACGGAAACGCTAAAGCTCCTAACGGGCATAGGGAAGCCTTTGTCAGGACGCATACTCATATACAATGCTCTGGACATGACCTTTCGCGAATGCGGCCTTCAACGGGATCCGAGTGCCCCTAAAATAACTTCTCTTATCGATTACGACTGCTTCTGTGGCGACCAAAAAGGGAACAAGCAGTCAGAGAAGGAAAACGCTTCAATGGCAGAAGCAACGGGAAATAGTGCCTTCCAGCGTATCTCAGTCAAAGAGGCTCGGCGCAGGTTGGAGGAGGATGGATGGGCGCCCTTCGTGCTTGATGTCCGATTGCCTCAAGAGGCGGAGATCTCAAAGCTTCCTTTTAGTGATTTGCTATGTCCACACCGGGAGGTGGAGAAAGTAGCGGCGCAGCTCCCACGGGAGCAAGACATTCTGGTGTACTGCAAAGTCGGTGGTCGCTCGGCTCAAGCGTGCGAGAAGCTGGCGGCGCTTGGATTCACAAATCTTGTCAATTTGGATGGAGGGGTTATTGCATGGGCTAAGGAGATAGATGCTCGCTTGCCAACATACTGAAACTAAAAACTGACAAAGAATAAGTAAAGACATGCATGGGTGGGCCGTGTGCCAAGATGATGGGATGCCAACGTGGTAGGAGCCGCATATATGAACAACTAGAAAAGAATCTTTCCTTTTTAGAAGTGACGTTTCTTAATACTGTAGTCTACCACGCTTTTTCCTTCACGTTCTTTACTTTATGCCGGTATTGGGGATGAATCAGAGACCGTGATGATTCAATCGCTTCTCGCTGCTTATTTTGCGGATGGTTTCTTCAACTTAGGTATGGCATTCTTATTGATGAACGAGGAAAAAATGGACAGCTTCTTGCCTCCCAAAGTAGGTTTAGACTGGCTGGATTCCATCACGGGCCCTGCTGGTTTAGTTAAGGGTGCCCCGGTGTGTGACAAGGGCGTTGGAGCTAGAAGCCTCGCATCCGTCGTCGGCTGGATTGCGACGTCGTACGTGGGTCCACGCGCCTCACCCTCTTTGTTCAGGTGGCTCTTTGTCAAGTCGGCTAGTGGTCTTGCATCTCTCGCTTCAAGTGCTTTAGTCGTCTCTTCCTTGTCGAAAGACGTTGAAGGGCTTAAAAGTCTATTCGGAGGTACAGGTGAAAGAATGCAGCTCTCCTCAGCTGACGCCTTGGGCGCATTGCTGATCTTTATTTCCACGCATGGTCTTTTAGAGTCGAGATTGAGATCCTCAGTCCCTTCGGCTTGGTCAGCAGGCTGCAACTCCAGCCTGCCACGCTTGGTCGTCGCGGGAGTCTTGTCGGTCTCACAAGCAGGGAAGCAACTAGGTGCTTCCAAAGCGCCCTCGCCCACCTCCCCTAGCAATGCAGTCGTCTGTTGAGCTCTTTCTTGTAGAGCGTTGTCCACTTTCGTAAGCGGTGGTGGCACATGGGGCAAGGGGAGGCGTTCCTCCACACCATTCACGTCCTCGATCCCTGTCGATGCCTCTTCCGATGTCTTTCCGGCGGGGGGTTCCATGTCCTGCCCATCACACAATACATCTTCGTTGCTTGCCTTATTCCTACGTCGCAATCTTGCTTGAGGAGTGGCAGTGCCTGGTCGGCTAGGTTTGGTCGCACCGGAGCGTTTCCTACCGCATCTCCGCCTGACAGGTGGATTCTCTTTCCCCTGGTCCTCGACAAGCTCATTCTCATCCGATTTCTGACCAGATTTCGCCAGCCCCGATTTTTTTGGGGCTCGCGCATAGTGTGAGGCAACCGGGGCCCCTTCCTGACGAAGTTTTCGAAGCTCTTCCTCAAGCTTTTTAATCTCACTCCCACGCGTAGACACCATGTCCTCAAGTCGCTTTACCTCTTCCTTGGCGCGTTTTTCAGCCTCGTCCAGTCGTTTCTCCACCTTTTTCTTCCCCTCCTCAAGGCGCTGAAGGGCCTTTCGCTGATCTGCCTCGTTCCTTGCCAAGCGGGTTATTTCGGTTTTGGATTCTTTCGAAGCCAGAGCTGCATCCTTTCCGATTTTCTCAGCATGTTTCTGCAGCTCCCCACGCTCTGCCTGAATTGCACTTTTTACTCTGTTTACACCGTCCTTCACGCGGCCCATCAATTCGAAAGACTTTATCGAGATTTTCCGCCCGAAAGCACACATGGTGCTATAGTCATGGAGGTAGGTGGAACGCGCGCCATAGGAGGTTGCCTCCTCGTATAACAATTTGATCTTCACGGACCGCTCCCTCTCGCATAAGCGGTCAAAAGCACAGACAGAGGCTGTGAGCTGACACCGTGCCTTCAGCTGTTCGCACTTAATACGATATACATCGCTGCGCGCTTTTCTATTTTCGACAATCAAGGGCGGGATTCGCTCCTTGGTGCATGTAAGGTCACGCGTCAGGCGGCTGACATTGACGCTGAGGCGCCGTCGCTCTCTCTGCACGTTGCACAGTTCGGCGCCTGATTCCTTGAGCGCTTGCTGTGCATCGCTCCAGGTCTCCATTAAGCGCTGTGAATTGGCTTTTTGCTTCGCCAGGCTATCGCGTAATCCGGCCAATTCAGCTTGAAGCTCCTTTTCGTGCAGCGAGAGGTTGGCTTTCGCCTCGGTCACGGCCGATTGCCCCGTCTTCGCTTCTTTTTTGGACGGTGCTCCGTGCAATTCAGGATTTATGGCCGCAGGATGCGCTGTGTGATGAGATTTTGCATCAATGTCTAATTTCTGAGCCTCAGACGTGACCATATTGCTCAGGGTAGCCTGACAGGCGTCGCTTTCTGCCTCTAGGTCCTGGGTGGCACTTCCAAGCGCTGAGGAGACAGCTTGATTAACACCAGGCACGCTGTTTGTGGTGGAAGCGCCCTTCTTTAAGCTGGATGTGAAAGTGCGAAAATCGAAAGCCAACTTGTTGGTCACCGGACGCGAGATTGCTTGACTTGGAATCTGCCCGCGCCCGAGGTACGTTTCGACTGGAAAAGGATCCTTCTCTCCCTCACACGCGACAGGAGGTATCCCGCCCCTCTTGATGGGAGCACTGTTCGACGTAGAGGCCGACGCCAGAAGCTTGGCTATGAGGGTCGTCGCCGAGCAAGCGCTCTCGGCAGGGCGGTTCGGAATGGGCGAGGGCGCAGATGTAGCAAGAGGCGGAAGAGAGGCCGGCGAATGCTTTTGGGAGTTGGTAAGGGAATGCGGAGGTGCGACAATTCCCGACACGTGGTCTAGCTTGCGCTCCGAGCCAGTGGCACAGAGCTCGGAGGCGTCCATGCCCCCCCCCTGGCACGGGTTTTGCTCTCCCGTGGGCTGTGCCGGGGGGCTCTGGCCCGAGATGCGCGACCGGGAGGAGGGAGCAGCACCCCCGGGGCTGTTCACAGTCTTGTCAAGAACCTTGTCCGTGCCAGACGCAAGCACTCTCTGCGACGCTTCCGCGATAGGGTCCGAGTCTGAGTAAGGCCAGTCAGGTGCTAATTGTGCATTTAGGGATCTTGCTCCTTTATCCTCCGCGGGAGGGGAGGACTTCTCGCCTTCATGTGCCGGGTCTATCAGCTCCAGATCAGTGGCGACAGGGGATGCTTCGTTGTCCCCCAGGCTGGGCGCGAGGCAAGGGCCCTCTTTGACGTCCTCACTGGAGGTCTCTATGGATACCAGGCATTTTGCCGATTTCTCGGCGCCCGTCTCGTGATCCAAGGTGGGCGCCATTGTTGCGGCCGGTGCCTCCGCACGCAAAATTATTTGAAACCCATTACGTGCCAAAGAACCATTATGAGTAGAGGACGTGGCCATCACGGCAGCCCCTACCTCCTTCGCTGCCAACTTATCCTCAGAAATAGAGCAAATATCTTCAGCTGGCCTCGCAACGGACAGCGCGGATACGGGGACTGAAGAGAAATCGCTGTGATCAACTTCGACGCATGGGGTCACGGACGGCGAACGCATGACTTTCGGCTGTTGCGATCGTGCTGGTAAAGGCGACCTCATGACTTTCGGCTGCTGCGGTCGTGCTAGTACAGGCGAGCGCATCACTTTTGGTTGTTGCGCTTGCGACGGTTTGGTTAATTTGTCATGGTGGGCTGTAGGCGCCGCCAGTGCAGATATTGCTTCCACAGGAGCATGGGCCTTCGGTTTTGGCGGAGGCGTGCGAGCCAACCTACGCAGACAAATTATCGTAAGCGTTGCGTCCACAATTATGCTTCGAGGCAGAATGAGCCCTCCAAATAAAACACGTACCTGCGTTGAGCTTTAAAGGGGTTGATGTCGTCCATGCCACAACACAAATAATCCGCCTGATATGGGGCGGAAAAGATGCATCCGTTGAAATTCCGTTCAATATCAGCCACTCTATCGGTTTGCTTATTTCTCCAAACATACACGCGCTTGCAGCCATAGAAGCACCGCATGTGGCACCGAATGCCAATGCCCTGAAGACCTCCTTAGGAGCTAAAGAGGGCGGGAGGGCCGGGCTGGGGCGTTGTGGTAGGGCCGCGGGTGCTTCCGTCCGGCCCATATCCATCCAAGCCGGAGCTTGCAGCGAAGCCAAGCATTTCGTTTCTGGGCGAGCCCGGGTCCATCTGACAGCAGGTGATCGATGCTCAACTCTAGCAGCCGGTGTTACATGCACATGGCCGGCGTCTTTCGCACCGTCTCTCATCTGCAGTCAATACAAATAGACAGTGTCATCGCATTTTTTGATGCCTCCCGACCAGAGGATACTTTATGTCAAGGAAGGACCCTAAATTTGCGAAAATTGGGGTCGGAAACAAACAAGTGAAACAGTAGCGAACTCATTCAGGTGGTGGAAATGCCGCGACGACCACATCGCTCAGCGGGACAACGCTTGCTGTCAATGACAACGCTCCTCCTCCTCAACAATGCTCTTTGTCCTCAAATATGCTGTGAAGCTTTTCAGCCAGGGCATTCAGCTGTAGTAACTCAGACTTCGACAACGACCCGAGGTTTCGGTGTGGCAACAGCCACGTTCCGTGTCAAGGTGCACGCGCATCATACAAATGCAGCAGAAGCAAGTCGGTTTCGTGATGTGAAGGAGCAACAGATCCAGAGGCTTCGCTTACGCAGTCCTTTTCTGTGTGTAAATATTAAGCCCGCATCCCGTCTGGAAGAGCTTCTCGCTGTAATTGAACTACGCGCCAAGGTTTTTGCCAATACCTTGGAGCCGCTCTCTGTAAAGTCTAGGCTGCGACGCATTAAGCATATCCTGGATCGGCGAGCCAAAGGCAGCTTAATCCTTATTGCTACGGCACGTGACCTCATGTCGCCATTTTCCGACGAGGTAATCATAGGATCTATCGAGTGCTCAACTCATGAATTTGATAATGGCGCTTCGCCTTTCCTGCGTGATTCTGCCGATGTCTGCAAATTATATGTCACGGAACTATGTGTAAGGGATGCCTTCCGCGGAAAAGGCGTGGCCACAGCTCTCCTCAAGGCTGTGGATGGTATTGCAGACAGTCTCGGTGCCGCTTACGTGTGTCTCTTTTGTGAACGCCTCAACCTGGCGGCATCGCGCTTGTATATCTCTTCAAACTATCATGAGGTCGGGCACAGTCCGTCGGTGAATAAGTTCGCTGGGGCGCTCGGTCTGCCTACAGCTGCAAAAGCATACGGATTTTTCTACAAACAGATCTCGCACCCCACTACGGACCATGCTGAAGCAGAGCTTTCCCGCGGCATCGCTGAGAAAGGCCCTGTACATTCCTGGGCATTGTCGATCCCATCCTTGAGTGCGCTGAGGCGACCACACAGTCACGCTTGTCAAATTGGGCCCCCCTCAAGTTTGTAAAAATGGGAAATTTCGCACAGGCAGTTGGCTTTTTTCGCCTCCTCTTGTTGTGTGTATACTGGCACGGTCACGTCACTCTATGCAGGCTTGAAATCAGTTGTTTTCCACTAACATTGATCACAGGCTTGCGAACAAGTTTGCTTGCATTGCTTTAACAGACAGTGTCAAAGTCGCAGGGAAAAGGAGTGCGTATACATTTAGAAAAAGGGGAACATCAGACAATTAGAATCCGTCTTGTATTTTACCTGAAGTCAAAAAAGTACTTTCGATATATTCATCTTAAAAAGCCATTTGTTTTAAGCCCATCAACTAAGCTCTTTGCTAAGGTAAACAAAGCTCATAATGCATCTATACAGAATATGTGCTCCCTTCACCCCCATGTGTGACTTCTTCCTACTTTCGAATCTGTAGATTATCGGTTGGTCTCCGGAGCTTTCCCTACCGCCTTGGGCACCTTCTTCTTCTGGGAGAGGTCTTGAATTGAGGCGGCGTCGTAATAATGCTGCGCCACTTCCAAGAGCCATTGAGGCTGAATCGGAGTGATAGAGCGCATGTACTCTTTTGACGTGAAGGCCAGCTCGTGATAGACCAGATGAGAATGTAGGACGCCTTCTCTTTGGTCCTTGGCCAGCACTGAGGATGGGTGGATGTACACAGTGTGGGCGTGCTTTAAGGTTTGATAGTCCTGAGAGCGCGTGAGCGAGGCGCAATTGAAGAAGAAACCCGCCGTGATGGCCTTCCGTATATCGTCGATATCTACAGAGGACACCGATTCAATCTCGACACGCTCGCACAGGCCCGTCAGCTGCTCTCGGATGTCGCGCGCCTTCTTCATGGAGCGAATTTGGACAAAATTCTCGTAGCACCACTGCGTGGAGAAGTTGCTCTCTTCCCATTGCTGGTAACACCGCAGTAAGGCCAGATGATCCCCTCCTCCCCCGCGGGCAAAGTTGAAGCGAGCATTGTCAGCGTGAACGGCACGGTCCTTTGGTCGGTAAAAGATTGAGTTTCCCACCGTTAGCATCGCCAGGATCGTGATCACGTCGTCGACGCATTTGTATTTCTCACTCGCCAGCAAGGCCTTTGAATGCATGGGCTCCAGAGGGAACTCGGCCATACGACGTCCCAACTTGGTCAGCTCGCCTCGCTCGTTGATCGCAGCCAATGCGTAAAGCTGCTGAAGTGCCTGCATGATGGCTTCTGTTGGGGGCTTGTCCATGAAATCGAACTGCAGAATGTTGTTGATGCCCAGCGACATGAGCATAAGCACCACGTTCCCCATATTGGTGCGCTGGATTTCTGGCACCGTGTCCTCGTCAAGCTCGTTCTGGAAGGCCCACATGGTGAAAAGCCGGAAGCACTTGCCGTTCTGCGTCCTGCCCGCCCTGCCCTTGCGTTGCTCGGCTGCCGCTCTTGACACGGGCGTGACGATGAGAGATTCCATCCCCGACCGCGGGTTGTAAGATTTTTGTTTGCAAAAACCAGTGTCCACCACGAAACAGATTCCGTCGATTGTCAAAGAGGTCTCGGCGATGTTTGTGGCCAGGACAACCTTACGGGCGTTCGGAGGGGCCTTCTCGAAAATTTTTGCCTGCTGCTCTGAAGGCAGCGTCGCATAGATGGGACAAATTATTAGCTCCTTGATGCGCGAGCCCAGACCTTTAGTGCGCTTGGTGAGTTCTTCTGCCGCCGTCTCGATCTCCTCCTGCCCTGTCAGGAAAACCAGTATGTCCCCAGGGACGGGCTGAGAGATGTGGATGTGCAGTACAGAAACCACAGCTGCATCCAGATAGTCGGCCTCGGGCGCCTTGGTGTAGTACACATCAACGCTGAAGATGCGGCCTGGGACCGTGAAGATGGCAGCCCCGTCAAAATAGTTCGAGAATCGCTCCGCGTTGAGCGTGGCCGAGGAGATGATCAGGCGCAGGTCCTCTCGGAAGCGAGCAATGTCTTTGCAGAGGCCTAGGAGGACGTCGGTGTGGAGCGTCCGCTCGTGGGCCTCGTCGATGATGACCACCGAGTACGAGGCCATGTCCGGCTCCGTCAAAAACTCGCGAAGCAGCATGCCGTCTGTCATGTACTTGATCACTGTCTTCTCCGAAGTGCAGTTCTCAAAGCGGATGGAGTAACCCACCTCCTGGCCGATCTTGGTCCCCATTTCCTGCGAAACTCGGGCCGCCACGCTCATGGCGGCCACGCGGCGAGGCTGAGTGCATGCGATCATGCCCGCCTGGGTGTAGCCCACCTCGTGCAAGTACTGCGGGATCTGCGTCGTCTTCCCCGAGCCTGTCTCGGCCGACAAGACCAGCACTTGATGGTCCTTGATGGCGGCCAGGATCTCTTCCCGGTACCGAAACACCGGCAGTCTCTTCCTTCCCGCCTGGAGCTTTTCAAATTCGGTCATAGGGGCGCGCGCCTGCGCCAGCCACTGCTCCTCGTCTTGGCCTTCGTCCTCCGATGACTCCTCAGTGCTACTCAACCTCTCCTGCTCGCCACCCTTCTCCTTTTTCTTCGTCCGCTGCTTCTTGGATTTCGCGAGTTTGTTGTTCAACAGTTGATCCGACACAAAATCGATCTGATTTTCAAACATAAATTCCTCCAATTCAGCTTCCTCCGCCGTCAAATCCTTCTGGGCCGCGCCCTTATCCTTGGCGCCCGGCCGAAAGGAGGCCACGCTCACCTGCTGCTCCTCCCAGAGCTCCTGCTCCGTCTTGTACTGCTCCTCCTCCTGGTAGCGGGCCGTCAAGGCTGCGTCCCGCTTGGATGTGTCCAGCTTCCCGTCGGCGGTCTCGTAGGCTTCGGGCATGCGGTAGCCCCGGTGCTCCCTTTCGAACCTGTCTTTTTCCTTGGCCATCTCCAACACCTTCCGCTTCACTTCGCGGCGTTGCTTTTCCTCGGCCGTGATCTCTACATCCCCGAAGAGGAACTCTTCTTCTCGAAGCTCCTTCTCGATTAACGCTAGCTCCTTCTCCTCCCGCTTCTTCAAGTACTCTCGCCGCGACACTTTACGCGCCTCGTCCAGATACTCCTCCCCCTCTTTTGACACGGCTCCTGTCGTGGCAAGTTCCTTGATCTGCTCTGCCGACAGGCCTCCCCCCGATGCTTTCTGTTGCGTCTTCATGTCCTCTTTCTCGAGCATACGCTGGACGAACGCGTCTCGTTCCCGGATGTCTTCATCCAACTCTTCTTGTTTTCTTTCGTCTTCGCCCTTTTCTTTTGCGTCCATAACCGCGCCAGAAGTGACCTCGCGCACGCGCTTTCGCACCAGTGAGATGTCCTCCTCCTCGTCTTCCTCGATCTCAGCTGTCTTCTTGCGCGCCTGCCTCTCCTTCTTTTCCCGTTTCTCCTTCTTCTCCTCCTTCCTTCGCTTCCCTCCGTTAGTCCCATTACCATCACCAGTGCCACTGATCGCTCGCTTATAGTCCTCGTCGTCACTTTCAACCAGGGAGTATCGCTGGCTCTGGCGGATGAGCTCGGCGTTGGTAAGCCGCCTCTCTCCTACAGATGCCGCAGCTCTACCTCCCACACCCCCGGCATTTCGAGCCACCCCCTTGCCAACCTTTCCACCTTGAGACCTCATACGTTGGAAAAGCGCCTCGGCGAAAGGACGGGTCCTCGGACCCTCCTCAATTCCGCTGCCTATCAGCTGGACGTGTAGAGCAGCCGCAGAAGGGGCCCGCTTAGCCAGGGAGAGAATAAATTGGCTGAGCGTTTTGTCGCTGTAACCCACCACATCATGCAATTCCGTACAAAGCCACTCTTCGACGTCCATACCCAGGGTGATTCTTCGCGCTTTGTGGGTGCAAATAAAGGGAAAGTTGGATGAGATGGCTAGTACGTGACAAGAAGTTTGACCCTGTTCGCCCAGTATGAAAGCCCTGAAACGCGCTACCGCATATCACAAGTACTTGAAGTACTTATTATTGACCACTCATGCGAAATTGCTCTAGTGCTTCAGCAATCCCGGCATTGTCTGCCCACGCGGGGCAGACTAGTGCAGCGCGCAGTACCGACCTCCTCCTTCATGAACAAGGAGATGCACCGTCCTCTAAAGGCCAACAAGCCACGTGCATCTCAATGGCCTCATCCACACGGTCTCTCCCATACTTCTCGCGCGTCTCACTCTGAAAATGGTCCGCCATGGTCGAGTGCGGGGCCCGCTGCGATGCCCAAAGCCATGGCCACGGCCTCGACCTCGCCAGCCCTCGCTCCCGTTCGGGTACACTCCTGTTTCCTGCCCGGCCGCGGGCCATTGTTTACTATGAACACGCTGGGCATGGTTCTACGAATTGGATGACGGATCACGTTCACGTAGTAAAAGTCGTTAAATGTCATTCCTCGCGTTTCTTCTTTTTTAAGATTTAACTTTGATTACACTTATCAGGTACTTGGTGAGAGCGACATATTTTTCCTCAAGCAGCATTGGAAGGCCATAATCCCCATACATGAAAAGCAATGAGCTCATCGCCTGTAGTCATTCCGTTCTTTCTGAAGGGAACGAGGCCATACCCTGCGAAACGCGTAGTCCCGTGGACATAATAACTCCCAACGCGTCAAGGACCTCCCAGCTCAACACCCCCGAGCAACGCCTGCGAGACGAACACAACAGCGACGAAGGAACGACTATGATTGATTTGACTGGCAACAGTCCAGGTGTCGTGGATATCTCGGTGCATTCTCCTCCATCAGCCATCGAAGCGACAGAGGATGTGAGAACGGCAGGCGGATGGAGTTGTGATTCAGGAGAAGTCTCCGACCGCACTGACGTGCATGGGGAGGGGGTAGTGCGGGAAGGACACGCTCAAGAGGGTAGATGCCACACCAACACGCATGGGCCTATGGGTAGTACGGGACATGGAGTGGACCCTGCCGAAAGAGGGGGAGAGAAAGGAGACCCTGGCGAGGACGACAGCGTCCAGGTCCAGTGCCCCGTGTGCACATTTAACAACCCCCCGAGCATGGACCTGTGCCAGATGTGTGTGCATCCCTTGACAATAGGCCTAGCAGGGCGTGTGCTGCATGTCCAGCACGGCCGAGTAGGTGGTGGTGGGAGGGGGAGAGAGAGCGGTTGCGGGGGGCGGGGGATGAGGACCTGCCTGCCTTGTGGACCTGTCCCCTCTGCACGTTCTGCGGCAACCGGCGTGGCAACTGGGTGTGCCAGGCGTGTGAGATGGGGCGTCCTCGGCGCCAGGACATGCTAGACGCCGAGAGCGAGGAGGGCTACTTGATGGTGTCGGAGGGTACGGTCCGAGGGAGAGCGGGCAGGCCGGGCCCCCGGGGCCGCAGTCCAGCCCGGGCGGGAGGGAGGGTCGCCGATACCTCCATGCAGACGTTGGAGGATGTGGTGAGAGGGGCGCTCCTGGGGTCTGGGGTGGCGGGAGTAGGGTCAGCTGTGGCCGGCGGCTCTCGCTCGGAGCACAGACGCCGCGCTTTCATCGGGGGCGTGGTGGGAGGGCTGGGGGCGGGGCTGTTGGGGGGGTACATGCGGCGGATGAGGGAGGAGGGGGACGCCATAGACTCCATGTCGTACGACGACTTGCTTTCCCTGTTTGGGCCTGGGCACGAGCCGATCAAAGCGACTGCTGCGACCGTCTGCGCCCTCCCAGAGATCACCGTCCAGGCCGCAGACGTGGCGCGGATGCGGCGCGAAAGCATCAATGACACCCACGGCTGCAGCATCTGCATGGAAGACTTTGCTGAGGGGGACGTGACTCGGCGCCTGCCTTGCCTGCACATGTATCACAAGGAATGCATCGACCGCTGGCTCCTCCAGTGCAACGCCACCTGTCCCATTTGCAAGGCTCCCTGCGGCTAGCAGGAGCGATCTTGATTGAGAGCACAGCCCGTGAAAGCCAAAGCAAATTGTAAAATGTATACGAAGTCGAATGCAAACGCAAGTCTTTTCTTTCCTAGGCTTCCTCTGACGCTCTTCTTCAGCTCTACCTTCGCACCTCAGGTGTGGCGGGCAGCCGCTGCCTGCAGGCAAACATCTCCTCCGCGCGCCCGGCCGCGCACAGGATCAACCGGCCATCCGTCGAGTGGGTCGGGACGGGTAACGCCCCTGCCAGCGACATGCGTCTCTCCAGGAGTCTCAGTTTGTCGTCTAGATAGCCCCCCAGTCGCCCGTAGCCCTCCTTGCGCCGCTCGTGAACAAGGTGCCGTAGGAGCGGCGTGTGGCAAGGCTGATACTGACGCCCGTCCTGCTCATGCTGGTCGAGGGGTGAGGCTAAGGGAGGCAGCAGGAAACCCAAACACTTGGCCACGGCGTCCCCGCCCGGTCGCTCCACTGACGGTTCAGGTCTGTGTGCTGAGCACCACACAGTGACCAGCGGCGACCGCTGTACATCGTGCAGTAGGAGCGATGCTTGGGCCGCGTTGAACGCACAAGCCGCATGGGCGGAAAAAGAGCATCTGAACACCGCAGAGTCAGGGTCGTGGTGGCAGCACCGGACAAGCAGTCCCACGGAGGAATCGCATATACCGCAAGATAGCGCGTCGGCAGCTTGCCAGCGTGAAGCCATAGTTTCCTCCTGGGCCTTCAAGTTGCGATATGTCGCCACTATATCACGCGACACTACTGCCACCTGAGCATTAGTGCCTGCCACGAAACGCACCAGGCGTGGCTGTTGATTCCAACCTGCTAGCGCGCAAACCTTGTGCACGAAGAGCGGCTCTGCCAAAGGATTTGGCAAGGAGGTAGAAATTGATGCGAAGGCATTTGCTTTATCACTAGGCCTTATGCAGGCCGCTACTTCAAAGGTGCTGCCACAATCGTTGTCTTCGTCCTCGCTCCCGTCCCTTACGTAGTCCTCATCGGAGTACTGTCCTTCCCCACGGTCAACTATCCATATCCTCAAAAGACCGCCGCCTTTTTGATGACAAAGCTCACACATTGGAGCGATTCTTTTGTCCGTGTTTGATATATCCCGGGCAATGGCGCAGAAGTCGCAGAAGAAATCACCTTCGGGCACCCTAGGCAATCCGTAGCATTGCTGATGGAAACCCAAGTCGCACGCATCACAGTACACAATTTCGTTGGTAGACTGGAACTCTCCTTGGAAGCAGATGACACAACAATCCTCTTTTTTTGCACGATCTCCCATCGGCCCCATTGCTCCGCTTCTTGTCGGTTGCGTCGAGTTCTCGACACATTGATTCGACGCGCCGAAATTCTGGCTTTGTAGGTCGCCTTTATCGTCGGTAAGAGGCCCAGATCCAGCTTCTTGGTCAGTGCTTTGGTTAATGGTTAACATCTACTCTATTGGTATCACTCAAACCGTTTCACTTCGCTTCGATTCTTTAAGGGGTTCAAAAGAGTGTGAAAAGGTTGCAGTGAGGATATGGGGAGGTTAAAATCGTTCGTATCATTCGTATGTATGTTTTTTAGGTTCCATGAGGCATAAGGCCTTTTTCTCCAATGCTCCATCACTGAGGGAAAATAAGATAGAAGGGACAAAAATTGGCATATCTAAATCCTGTCTACGCCACTTACATGCCAGTCTTCGTCATCAACAAATTAGTACAGCTGTCTTCACCCTAGCTTTCATGTGAAAATTTGAGTGAAGAAATTTGAGCTTGTACCGACCACCATCTCTTGGTTCAATGCATCTGGTCATAGGATCTTCACAGCGGTGCCAAGCCCTGTAAAATCATGAAAGCGGGGAATTGTCGGCATAGATAACATCGATCCTCCCCGGGTCGGAGAGAGGCGAGTGGCGCCGGACCGCTCATCCTCGCCCAGGTCGAGCCCTCCGCTTGCCTCGCCCGCCTTCGATGGCCCTCGATCGTCCTCTTTTCCCCCGGCTGCAAGGCCTGTCTTTCTCGGACCCCATCGCACGGCCGGGTTGTCGCCTGGCGTGCCCATCTCGGCGTGTGGGCCTTGGTCTGCGCGTCGCGCTGACCTTCATGTTCGGCACGCCTTGTGACGGCGGCGGATGGCTGAGAGACGGCGACACCCGGGCCAGCATTGCAGAAGGAGAGAGAAGGCGACGCGTCATATTCGCATGGCCACGAACTGCGTACAAATGAACCATGCTATGAAATGAATGTGTTATGAAGTAGTATACCACAGCGGTCTGTTAATGCTCATTTTTGGTCCCCCAGCGTAGTGTTGCACCGTGCGCGTTCCCACCTCCCCGCTTCGACTGATGCCTCCTTCCTGTTTATATCCAACCAACCATCAATTCTTCTGCTAACCAAAGCTATTTGCTCCGCTCCCTCTTGACAAACAGTTATGGGTATTTCTCGTGACTCTCGCCACAAGCGCCGCCACACGGGTGGAAAGCGGCCCTCATACCGTAAGAAGCGAAAGTTTGAGATGGGTCGCCCGGCGGCAATGACGAAATTGGTGCTGGGACATGGGGAGAAGCGCGTACATGTTGTGAGAGGACGGGGCGGGAATCTTAAGTTCCGTGCGCTCCGCCTGGAAACGGGCAACTTTGCCTGGCGCTCTGAGACGGTGGCGAGGAAGACACGTATTTTGGACGTGGTCTACAACGCCTCGAACAACGAATTGGTCCGCACCAAGACCCTGGTGAAAAGTGCCATCGTGCAAATCGATGCCGCGCCTTTCCGACAATACTTTGAGCAGCACTACGGTCAGGAGGTGGGCAGTAAGAAAAAGAAGGCGGCGGCCGCAACAGCAAAATCGGAGGCGGAGCCCGAGAAGAAGTCCAGCCATGTGCTTCGCAAGCTTGCCAAGCGCAAAGGAGAGTTAGAGTCGCACTTGGAGGAGCAATTTGCGTCGGGCCGCTTGCTCGCTTCTATTTCTTCTCGTCCGGGTCAGAGTGGGCGCGCGGATGGTTACATTCTGGAAGGAAAAGAGTTGGAGTTCTATCAGAAGCAGTTGGCCAAGAAGAAGAAGGGTCAAAAGTAAGGGGCGATGGGAGTAGACGGGGCGAATGGCGTAAAAGCAGGGCTTAGGTGTAGTGTTGCAGGCGGTTCTGCATCTTTGATAGACGCGATAGTCCGAGAGGGCTGGGCCACGAGGGGATAGACTTCCTGGAGCTGAGGATGGACACGCGCAGTTTTGGGATAAGGAGGGGCGTCATGGCATCCTTGACGATTATGACACAAACGACAGAAGAACCAAATAAGCTCTGCCAATTAATTACGGCCTCTAGCAAGGGTATCGTCTGAAGTGCTTCATGCTTTTCCAGAGCATGTTTTCTAACGATGACTCCCAAGACATGGTACCTCTTAAAATGTGACAATTCGCACTCATTGTCTTGAGCTATTTTCTATCCTTATATCCCGTGAACATCTACTTATTTCGCTTCTTCGTAGCATTCTTTCCTCCCCAAGTTTTTTCTCGGACTTGTCCGCAGACTCGGATTTCACAACCCTGGCATTCCACAATTTTTGAAAATTTCATCCTTTCTTATTTTTTTGCATGATACGACGTTCCCTTACAAACACATGTTGGACCACGGAAGTGCTGTTTGTCGCACTTATTGCCTCAAACCAAGCCGGCAGACATCTGTGGATATACAAGTTGTCTCAGATGTCGGCGTTCTCGCATTTTTCTTTTTCGCCGCGAGTCCGCGGGTCGAAATCGACTTCAGAACTCGCCGAGCCAGATGAAGTCGACGTCTCGCGGCCTCGAGATTCATTTTCGGCTGAAGTACGCGTGGAACGATGGACAAGATCCTCAGCGGCTGCGACCCAGGCGTTGTATATGTCTTGAGAGAAGAGGACAAATTCAATGTTTCGTAACGGTGAGTTCAAACCCTGGATTGAGGAGAAGAACCGGTCAGGCTCATGAGACGGATAAAGCGAAGAGATGATGCTTCATGACAGGTCCTACCCATTGACCAACCGACAGCAGGGTCCGCCCTCTCTCAACCTCCTTCCTCTCACCTGTTCGTCGCCAAAGTCGATACAAGATTTGACAGCTATGTGTGAAGCTCTGCTGACAGGATATCCATAGATACCGCATGAAACGGCCGGAAATGCCACCGACGTCAGCCCTTGTTTCACAGCCAGATCAAGAGAACTTAGGTGGCTGGCGCGGAGCAAGGCCGCAGACTCATTGTCATTTTTATATATTGGTCCGACAGTATGCACAACATACCGGGCAGGCAATTTGAATCCTGGCGTTATGCGGGCCTCCCCTGTAGGGCACCTCACACCTGGGCGTACCTCTGGGACAGCTCTACATGCCTCGTACAATTGGGGCCCTGCAGCTCTGTGCACAGCCCCGTCCACTCCACCGCCACCCAGCATGCGTTCGTTCGCCGCATTTACGATTGCGTCTACGGAGCACTTTGTCAGATCTCCGACGCTTATCTGGAGGCTTATCCGATTGCTCAGAGGGAAACTCCGTCTTAGAATAGATGCTGCGGCCTTGCCTCCGCAATCCGCCATTGTAAGAAAGAAAATTGCGAAGGCGAAGTAGCCGACACACAGAGGCGCGAACCTCCGCGAGCTTTTTTTCGTTTCTACCTCTCGGCTTGTGAAGTCGTTACCGGTTTCAAAGGCTGCAATGGTCGAAATGCTATTGCAGTTGATGCCTGCAGAACCTCGTCAGGTGGACTATCATGAGCAAAAGGTAGGAGGTTACAAAATGATTTGATTCCCGTCTCACCTATCAAAAGCGACTGTGCATTGGTCGTGTGGGTACTGTTGACATATCGACAACGCCTGTTCAGGCGTCCTGATGCGCACCTGCTGTGCACGGGCAAGCGCTCGGCCAGCCTCACTCCGCCCCGCTTCATGGCGTCGGTTCCGGGTGCTCGCCGAAACGAAGCCGATATGGGCCGAGGGCGAGCGAGGAGAGCCACCCAGAGAACGGGGCGAACGGACCAATCAGAGGCGGCCTCTTGGCTCGAGGACCCTCCCGGATATTCGCTCTCGACCTCTGTCTTCAGACGAATCGTTCATGCTTGACTGCGTTCGCCCGAGGTAAATTTAATATCACCCTGCTGTGACCTTTCTCTGCCGTTGGTGTCCTTGACACACGCCCCTGATGGCAGCTCTTTTCTTTTTCGATCATGCCGTCTCGCCGATCGCTGTCGAAGTCGAGGCTCTAGTTCTTTCTCTGACTTACGTGACTTCGTCGACAGTACATTCGATGTTCTCCCTGCGAACACCGTGAGGCGAAGTCCGGGATCCTCTGTGTCGTGCTACAAGTGTTCTTCAATAAACTGGCCACATACGTTTCCGCGCTGCTCGGTCCAAAAGTCTGTGAAGCGTGCGCCCCCCCAAGGGACAGCAACCATTTTTGAAATTACCATGCTCCTCTGCATTCGTTTTAATAGATCTTGATCCACGCTAGCATTCAATGAAGAACCGATCAACAGCAATTGAATACCTAGCCTTTATCCTGTCTTAAAGTGCGTCTGCCTGTGCCCGCGTTAAGTCGTTCACGCCCTCTTTGTTGTCCTTTTACCCAAGGAGCCCTCATACTCCTCTTTTCATCGAACCACTCGCACAGGCATCTTCTTTATCTGTTTTCCGGTTCGCAAGCAAAAATGATTAGTCGTGGATTGCTTGCCGTAGGCCTACTGACAGCTTCGACTTCTGCAACGGTGTATTTCACAGAGAATTTCGACGATAAATGGGAGAGCCGGTGGGTGGTGCCCAGCAAGTGGAAGGCAGCTGAGGAGATTGGTGAATGGGCCCACACTGCAGGAGAGTGGTTCGGAGACGCCGCGGACAAGGGCATCAAAACCTCCCAGGACGCCCGCTTCTACGGGCTGTCCGCCAAGCTGGCCAAACCCTTCTCGAATGAAGGCAAGGACCTGGTCTTGCAGTACGTGGTGAAGCACGAGCAGCGTTTGGACTGCGGAGGCGCCTACATTAAATTGCTGGGACCTGAGCTCGACCAGGCTTCCTTCGGGGGCGACACCCCTTACCAGATCATGTTTGGGCCCGACGTGTGCGGATCCACCAAGCGCACGCATGTGATTTTTAACTACCCCGAGGCGAAGGGCGAGGACAAGAACCTACTGATCAAGACGGACGTGCCCACCCGCACGGACCAACTCAGCCACCTGTACACCCTGCACATCATGGCTGCCAACAACTCCTTCAACGTCTTGATCGACGGTGAGTCCGTGCGTGAGGGCTCCCTGGAGGAGTCCTGGGACTTCCGGCCCCCCAAGACCATCCCCGACCCTGAGCAGAGCAAGCCGGCGGACTGGGTGGACGAGGAGATGATGGCGGATCCCGCGGACGTCAAGCCGGAGGGGTACGACGACATCCCTGCCACCCTGCCCGATTCGGAGGCCGTCCAGCCCGAGGACTGGGACGAGGAGGAGGACGGCGTCTGGGAGGCGCCCATGGTGGACAATCCCGACTACAAGGGCCCCTGGTCCCCCAAGATGATCCCCAACCCGGACTACAAGGGCGCATGGGAACACCCGCACATTCCTAACCCCGAATACTCGCCCGACCCCAAGCTGCACGCCCGTGCCACGGAGGTGACGGCCGTCGGCTTCGAGCTTTGGCAGGTGAAATCGGGCACCATGTTCGACGACATCATCCTGACAGATTCGCTGGATGAGGCCACCGAATACGCCAAGGAGACCTTCTGGAAGAAGCAGGAGGGCGAGAAGGCCATGTTTGAGAAGGCTGAAGAAGAACGAGTGGAGAAGGAGAAGGCGGAGCGTGAGGAGATGAAGAAGAAGGCGGAAGAGAACGGGGAACCCTTCGAAGAGGGGGACAGCCCATTCTCTGTCTCCGACATGGAAATCACAGAGGACGAGGACGAGGATGATGAGGACTGGGAGGATGAGGAGGAAGAGGATGACGAGAACTCCTTTACCATGGAGCTCTAAGAGCGAAATGACTTTTCTCTCAGTGTAAACTCCTGATTTTCTCGTGGTCGTCTTGTGGGAGGTAGCATCTCGAGGTTTGTCGCAAATTATGAGTGTGCGCCTCCTTTATGAGGCATGAAAGCTGTTTTGTTACGAAATGATGCGATGAGTGGCGCGCCGTAGACACCAGGAAAATGTGAGTTTTCTGCTTAAAGCGAGAACCGATTGCATCAGCCATCACAAAGCCCGAGCGTGGCTCCCTCCTCTCGCCTCGGAGGATGCCGGGGAAGAGGATTGCAGTCGTTTTCAGGGTTATCAGGGCTTAATGTCAATCATAGAATTAAAATGAAACCCGAAAAGCGCGTACATGTTTTTTGCTTGCATCGCTGCGTATGCTGCTTTTACAGCCATCTCGCCGACCTGGAAAAGGCGATGCCTAGATCGGTCTCCCGGGGCTTCCTGGAATTCTTCGCGCTCCCGAGAGCTGGTGTGAAGCCAGCAAAATGCATTTGATGCGCACCCACACGCCTTCTTGGGGTCGCCAAGCCTGTAGGAGGATCGTTTCTGCACCATGGTGTCAGCCGCACACTTTTTGATTCACTTGTGATGTCTCCATGGGTATCTACTAACGGAAAACTGATGACATCTTCAGGCGCGTCGGTGAGAGAATGGCACCCACTAAGGTGCAAATCAAGTGGAATAAGCAGACTTTCTCTGAAGTTCCGCTTGACACAACGGGAACTGCGCTGACTTTCAAACAGCATGTCTACGAACTAACGGGGGTTCCAGTACCGCGGCAAAAACTGATGTGTAAGGGAGCGTGGAAGCTGGCTCTCAAGGATGACGACGACTTGTCAAAGCTTTCAATCAAGGATGGTGCGGCGGTGACGCTCATAGGAACAGCAGATGTGGTCAAGGAGCCAGTAGAGAAGGTGGTTTTTGTCGAAGACATGGCACAGGCGGATCAGGCCAAGACGGGCGCCATTCTTCCTGCGGGACTGCGCAATCTAGGCAACACCTGCTACCTCAATTCGACGTTACAATGTCTCCGGTACGTACCAGAGCTTCGACAGGCTTTAAACAGGTACACTGGGACGGGCGCCAACGAGCAACCATTTTTGACGAATGCCCTTAAGGACACGTTCAATCTACTCGATGGCAACACGGAACCTGTGCCCCCTATGCAATTCGTCATGTTGCTGCGCCAGCAGTTCCCTCAGTTCGCCCAGCAGTCTCGCGGTCACTTCATGCAGCAAGATGCCGACGAATTCATGAACGAGCTTTTGACGTCGCTCGCGGCCAACCTGCGCGACGCGTACGGGCTCCCCTCTCTGGAGGACGCCGGGAATTTCGTCGACGCCTTGTTTGGGATGGAAGTGGAGGACACGTTATCCTGTGCCGAGTCGGAGGCCGAGAAACCGGTCGTGAAGAGAGATCATGTACGGAAGCTGGTCTGCAACATCCAGGGCGGTGCTGGCAGCGACGTGAAGATCAACTATCTGCATGAGGGGGTGAAGTTGGCCTTGGAGGGGACGATCGAGAAGCAGAGCGAGGTTCTGGGGCGCGACGCGGTCTGGAATAAGACCACCCGCATAGCTCGTCTGCCGCGCTATCTCTGTGTCCAATTCATGAGGTTTTTCTGGAAAGCGACCCCAGACAGTCAGGACCACGCCGGTGTGAAATGCAAGTCTCTGCGGACCGTCACCTTCCCCGAGACCCTCGACATGTTCGACTTCTGCAACAAGACACTCCAGGACCGGCTCATGATCACGCGCGGAAGGGAAGTGGACGACATCCTGGGCAAGGATTCGAAGAAGAAGGGCGACGGCCTTGGTGGAGACGGGGGCGACCCGGAGGCCAAAGGCGAGGAGAGCAGCGGCAACGGCAGTTCTGAAGAAGAGGCCGCGTTGCAGGCGGCTCTGGCCATGTCCATGGCGGATTCTGCAGATGCAGCTGTGCCTCCTGCTCCCTGTGGTCCAGGTCTGCCAATGGATTTCAAGGGCTTGTACGAGCTCTTCGGCGTGGTGACGCACAAGGGTAGGACGGCCGACGGGGGGCACTACATGGGCTGGGTCCGTCAGAAGGGGGACGACTGGCTGGTGTTTGACGACGAAGACGTGTCCGAGTGCAAGACGGCGGAAGTCCTACAGCTTTCAGGGGGTGGGGATTGGCACATGGCCTACCTCTGCTTCTATCGCTTCAAGGGCACAGGAGGGGTTGCAGACGAGAAGGGGTCCTCTAGAGAGGGCAAGGAGTGAGCGGAGGGATGATGTACGGTGAGACACTGGTCAGGCAGACGCGTGTAGCGGTCGCTTTCGTGAGAGGCGAGGAGTGCGGCTCCGTAAGGAGAGGGTCATCGGTTCTCGAAAGCATATGTAAAGAAGAAAGACCGAACATGCGCTCTTGATCTGCATAACTATCACAGGCGTCGTGATGCGTGCTTTTCATAATTTCGGAATGAAACTTGTCGTGCGGCATTCAATTCTTAAGTTGTCTTCTACATACAAATGGTCATTGTTGTTCTTCAGTTATTTGGAGTCCCGGGCTGGATGTTGGGGATTCTCTCTAATCGATAGACAATGGAGTCAAAAAGGGTTTACGAATTATAAAAAACAGTCAAAGCGATACTGGACACGCGCCACACGACAATCCACACATCAATTGGCCAGTCTAGTCTAAGGTCAGCCAGCGGAATACTATTGAGGTATTTTCTCGGCCGAAATGTCGATGAATGCCGGCAGAAACCCGCCTCTATCGGTGCTGCTGCTTTGCCCTTTCTCCATCTGAGCCGTGAACGCAGTGATCGTTGCGGCGTTCACAGGAGGCGCAGGACCAGCTGTCTTGGCGCTGCCATCCGTATCGCCAGCGGCACTCCCTGGCCGACTGGCAATGACTTGGACCCTGCCTGTGGGAGCCTCGTCCGTGACCATGACCATTCGCTCCTGCTGCTTGATGAGCCAGTCGCTGGTAGTGGTGGGGTCCTCGAACCAGTCGCCCAGCTCCTGATTCATGGCGGTCACCAGCTGGGAGATCTGCTCCGGCAACCAGAGGGCGCGGGCCGTGATCCAACTTTTGACCCCAGCCCAAGAGGAGGGTGGCGCCCCAGGCTTATGGGCTGTTCCGGCCGACTCCCTGACGGATGAGGCAGCAACGAAGGAAGAGCTGTCTGGCCTGAAGCACGTGTTGCGGATTTTGCAGAATTTGGAGGGGTCGAGACCGTTGGCACGCGCCACTTGAGAGACAGCCGGCATTAGCTCCGGGGGAAGCTCGGGCGTGCGGGCGTAGACGAAGGCACCCTCATAATTCCCTTGGAGGGTGTGGCCCGTGTAGAAAACGAACTTGTAGTCCGGCAGCCCCACGTCCTCCGGCGAATTCTCTCCGATCACGTACCAATTCTCCCAAAATGTGAGGCCAAACATGCGGCCGACCGAGTGCATGGATCGCCGGGCGCCGGGCCCGTCCCCCAGCATCTCCTCTGTCACGTGGTTCTCCCAGAAGCCGGGAGCGCGGGGGCGGGGCATGCGGAAGGAGACATCGGCAAGCATGATGTTCGGCGCCCCTGGCTTGGGCGTGAAGTGGTTCACCTGGCAGTCGAAGCAGTCGTAGCGCGCGTCCATCCCCATGACCTTGTACCACCGGCCGTTAAGAGACCGGATCTCGAAGGTGGGCGAGCTCCGCTTATCCAGGCCCACAGCGTCGGGGTCCGTCCAGGTGGCTCGAGAGCGATCCCGTGGCACGTGTACGCAGTCCTGCTGCTCCACCGCGCAGTGCAGAAAGTCGTCCAGCACGCGGTTGCCGTATTTGGCAAAACAGGCCGTCGAGCACGTCCCCTCGCCCTTGCACTTGGACAGACAGGAAAGGCCCTTCAGGCAATCGGGATTGTTCAAACAGTCATGCGTGGGCAAGGAGCACTTTTGTACAAAACATTTTGGGTCGACACCGACCTTATTCCCCTCTTTCGCATACTGTGCTAGCTCATTTTCTGCGCGAGCCGGGTATAATGGTCCTGGACCGTTGAGAATTCCTCCTCCACTGACGCCCATCCAGCCTCCACTCAATATCAACAAGGCCACCTTAGGAAGATAGCTTCGGAGATGGTGCACAATGGTGATAGCTATATCCGGTGTGTGTGATGTGTCCGATGACAGTCTGGCAGGCTGCGTGATGCTTCGCTTTCCTTTTCTTTCCTCATAACCTACGTCATGTTCTCGAAATGCGCAATTTTGCTTGCTAATCCGCGCTCTATTTTCGGCCATCGTCATTGTCATTGCGCTGACGATTCTCGGCCGAACTCGAATCGAGCAACGGGGGATGACGAAGGCTGAACCGCCGAGCATGAGGCCAAACACCACCTATTCAGTTTTTTCATTGATTACAAGAAGTATAAAAAAAGTACAAAGGTTGCAATGAGAGTTTGGTTTTAAAAGTAAAACTGGTTGCATGCGATCAAGAGCACACGATGCAGCGTCAACTTGAGCCAGATGCTTGGGTTCTCACAATTCAAGAGCAAGAACCCCAAAATTTTCGACTTACCATGCTCAAGACCACATTTATGGCGAGTGTATAGGATAGCATGGTTCTTCTCCGCCCACGTCGCCTCCGTTTAGTTCTTATTATTTCCTCCCTGCCTTGATGCACCTTGTCTCTCATGACTTCCTTTTTGTTCTCCCCTGAGCAAGGGCATAGGAGAGGCATGGCTACCTGACACCTTTTCTCCAACCACACCAATCCACCACTGACGTCCCTCCTCAAATATTGCGTTTCGATTGATTGTGAGTGCGCGAACACGGATACTTTAAGTGTTGAGACGCTCCTGTCATAACGAGCACGGGCGAATGTGGTCGAGAAGGATCGTGAGGTACGGGTGCTTGGGGACTGAGCGCGTCCACAAATGCGGGCATCCCGAACGAAAACACAAGCCAGCAGCTGCCACAACCGCGAATCGTGGTATTGACAAAGATTGGCAACTCGTGCTTCATTTTTCGAGAAAAACGGGGTTGGTTACCTCCCCCTCCCAGCAGCCAGGCTCATTGAAGTGGAAAGGTACATACCAGACCGCGCTTAGCTAGCAGCTGTGGCGAGCCCTTCTTATGGCGATCCTCCTTGCACTCCCTCACTCTCGATCCTTCCGCCTCGATCTTGCTCGGTCATGCCCGTGCCGGCTAAGCGGATGGCGAGTGAGCGGAGGAGACCGGCGAGCCATGCGACGGGCAGTGCTTGCGGCCCTCCGGGCGTTATCACACTCTTTGAATACATCTTTGAAATATGTATATTTTGTTAGGGGAGAAATACAATACTCGGTGGGAAAACTTGCCGATCATACGTTTGTGGCTTCATATGCCCCGAGGGGTGGCGTAACAGAATACTTCATGCCATTTCCGAAGCGGGTAAGCTCTAAGGTCGCGCTTCCTATTCGCAGTGCACTTTGCATTCTCTTACATTTTAGCTACATCAACATAAATCGTAGGACATTCCTTGGCTCTTCGGATAAAAAAGCGAAATTTCTGGAGCTTGCCGCGCAGCAATGCGCCTGATTGGATGCTGATTGTAGCACAAGGCTGGACATTTTTAACCCATTATGACGCTCTCCGTCGCGCAAGCTGAAAATGTACGTGACAGTCGTCCGTAAGATGGGCTCTGTACATACAATTTGCGGTGTGTCTGTAAATCGCCTTTAAAATTTCATCCTCACAAACGCTCTTTGATTGCTGCGTGCAATTTTCTTGATGCTATAACTCTTCTCTTTGGTCCGTTGTGCTCGTACAGATGCTAAAGCGGCAGCTCGAGGAGCGTAAGCGAGGCCCCGGCTATGGTCGCCTACCGCGACAAGTGACCATTTGCGGAGGTGGGAACGGAGCGCATGTTTGTGCTGGATTTTTAGCCTGGAAAGGTATAAAAGTGAACGTCTTGACACGCCGACCCCGTGAATGGGCTCCATCCATCGAGATCATCACGCAAAGTTCCTCGTGGGAGGCGAAAGGGACGTTTGCGGGGACCTTACATGTGGTCAGTGACGAGGCGTCTCGCGTCGTTCCAGGTTCGGAGTACGTCATAATTGCGGCACCCGCAAATGCACATCCGGCTCTTTTGACCAAGGTGGCGCCGCATCTCGATTTCGGGGCAAAGATCGGAGCTTTGTTTGCTCAAGGAGGCTTCGATTGGGCTGTAAAGCATGCGTTCGGGACTGAGAAGATTAAGCGAATCGGTGTCATGTTCGGTCTACAAAATATACCGTGGATCTGCAAAGCCGTCAAATATGGCCATTCTGCACGTATCTTAGGACCCAAGAAGGGGCTGTGGGTTGCCACCTACCCAGTAGAGGCTCGCGACGCGACTGCTCGCGACCTGGAGAGCATGTTTGATATCCCCTGTCACACTTTGCCGAACTTCTTGAATCTGACCCTCACTCCGTCGAACCAGATTATTCACCCAGCCCGCTATTACGCAATTTTTCGCGACTGGGACGGCAAGCGAAGCTACAGTAGGCGCGAGCTGGAGGCCAGGGAGGGCCTTACGCTGTACAAGGGGATGGATGAGTACTCAGCGGAGTGTCTCGCTACCCTGGACAACGAGCTGCAACAGATTAAATTCGCCCTTCTTCAGCAGTTTCCCCAGCTTGACTTGTCTTACGTCATGCCTATAGGGGAGCGAATCGTCAATCAGTACGGTGATGACGTCACCAATAGATCCTCCCTTCGTCAAATTTTTCGCAGCAATAGAGGGTACTCGTCTTGCCTGACGCCTCTAAAGGAGCAAAGCCCGGGGCGATATCAGCCGCTGGTGGAGTCAAGGCTCTTTTGGGAAGACATACCTTATGGCTTGGTCATCCTCAAGAACCTGGTGGAGCTCCTCGGCAACTTCCCGACTCCAGCCATCGACTTCATGATTCGGTGGCACCAGACGTTTATGAAGAAGGACTACTTGCTGAGCGACAACCAGCTCAATCCGCGCCTGCTCCACGAGACGGGGGCACCCTGTAAATACGGCATCCATCGGGTAGAGGAGATCGTTGAGACTTGTCTGCCGCGCGAGCTCTTGGGGTACCGTCATCCTCGCTCGCGCATGTAGTTGTTTGTATCCCATTTATTTGCCCGCACCATCCGCGGCTAAAACTTGGTGTGTATATCTATTTTTGAAAGTACTCAATGGCGAAAAATGATGTTCATAGATTGATCGAAAGAAAAAGCATTTAAATTACCGATATACCGGGGCCCTTGGAGGCAATGCTTCGGAAAGTGTTTCTTTCTCTGAAGGCCAAAGTCATCCGGACAAAAGCCATCCTCGCTATGTGTTGGGACGTCTAGTCAAAAGAGCAAGACAACGAGCGGGGGACAACCCCGTTTGTTGATGGCAGGAAGTCATGTACGCGAAAGAAGGCTTGCTTCTTTCTAAGGTAGTTTTAACAGTTGCCGAGTCTTCTTGGAATTATAACCATCGTGCCATCCGCGAAAGGTCATTCTTGTGGCGCAATTTAGCTTGGCCGAAAATTACGCGGAACATCTAGTCCAAATTTACCCGGTGGCTCCACGTACGACGCAAACAGACTCGCTTGCTCCGTCTCTAGGAAGTCGAGAAGTCCTTGCAGGTATGTGCGTGCGACCTCGATCTCTCTCGACCCAGGTCTCTCGACCTCCATCCCCACGGGGGCTTCACTATTCATCAGGGTATCGGAGCTCTCTTCGTCCACTCTTTTCTTGTTGCTGGTACTTTTCTGAATTCCCAGTAGACGAGGAGCGATAGCAAGAAGGCGAAGGAGGTGCTCCGCACCCCATATTTGATGAGGAAGCTTGGATTTCCCTCCGAGCTCCAGCAAAGATAAGTACTGGTCCATTTCAAATCTGTACAGTAAAACGTTGCCCAGAGCACCGTCGAACAACGTGCAGAGTCTTGCGCCTAGGCCCTTGAAATCTCCCAGGGATGCGGCTGGGATTGACCTCTCGTACATTCTGACCACCTCCCCCACGCTGGGCCACTGAGGGTTCGACGTCTGTTTCCCAAGACGAATGTTCTTTTTTCCATCGTGGCGGGGCAAAGCGCCGACAACACACCTCCGACGAGTGATAGCGAACCAGTCCTCGCACAATTGTTGCCGCAAGGCGCCTGGAATGACCAAAGTGAGAAGCTGCCCTTTCAGCCACAGCTCGTCGAAAGTCAGCATGGAATCCGTATCCTCCTTTACTGACGCAGCCAGGTGCTTCTCAAGGCTGTGCTGCACCCTGGCATTGCCTCCCCCTCCGAGGGCGGGGTCGCGGGTAGACCCCCGGCCCACCGCCGCATTTGACGCGCTCCCTTCGGCGCCTTGACGCTGACTGCGAAGACTTCGCAGGGTCCCTGTTGGAAGCGCCATGGCTTCATTCTCCTGCGCCCTCGGTGGGAAAGGATCGGTGTGCTCGAGTGCATCTGCGGGAACGACAGTGACGATCTGCGAGACGGGGTCGAGCTTGTTGAACGCCGCGGGTCCCTGCAGCTGGAAACTGATCGAGTAACAGCCGGGAATTTTGAATTGCGGAACCCGAAAATAGTACATGCCACCGTGCGTTGCTTTCCCGGCCTCGTCGTACAGGACTTCTTCCTCACCGGTTTCCTTGCTTGTCGTTTCATTGGAACGCCTCGCCCCCACAGAGGCGATACGGTAGCGCAAGGGAACTTCCTTGAGAAGCTCGGGCAGGATCCGATTTCCCTTGGCGCTGAAAACAGTCAAGGCAAAGTACTTGTCGTTGCGCGAAGACCACTTGAAGGCTTTCATGAGCACATCGGGGGGCTTGATTCGGATTAGCGCGTCCAGCAACGCGCCCTTGGAATGCCTGTCCGCCACAAGCTCTAAACGGTGCGGAGCCTCCCGAAGGCTTCCGCTCTGTCGCGCTGCTGCCTTCTCGGGCTTAGACTCCTTCTTTTCACCGTTTGTGTGGACCTTTTCCGCGATTGCGTTACCGCCCGTGCCCCTATATTCGAAAGTTTTCCCAATCCGAGCTTTGGCTGTGGAGGCAGCCGCGCGACTCGGCCGTGCCAAGGTGACGGGGTCCAAGTCATCCCCGTGGCCCAGGTCTTTGCTTTCACTCTCGACACGGCTCGTCTCGCTTTGTGCGTGTATAGCACGAGGCCGTCGTACTACACCCTTGGCATGCGAATCACGTACGTGCTCCTCATTGTCTGTTGTCACAGAACCATCGCGTCCACGTTTGGAATTCGATTTTGCTTTCAGCATCGCCCCATCGCTACGACCTTGACGTTTGGGCATTTTTTGGTTTTTCTGTGCTTTGCAGGACGCCGTTGCTGTTTCTTGTTCACTTGTCCGCGCGGGAGGCAAAAAAGACGAAGACGCCTTATCTACCAGAGCATTGGAGCAGCCTTCTTCTCCTGCAAAAAAATATGAAGGAACTCTTTAATACATTCCACCAATCCCACTCTTCCCTTGGACATGGGACGTCGGGTGCCGTGTGATCACGAATGAAAAGCGGGCACCAGTGCAAGTATGTGTCGCGCAAGAGCAACCATCCTCGGCGACTTTGTTCCGGCATGCATGATGCGACCAGCCCGACTTGCCGCGGGGCTAGTGATGTCGAGAAAGCAAGTCTCTCAACATTGGATCGCCTTGACGATCTAGGTGTGATAGATGCGGGTGCCTTCCGGTTATTGGACCCTGTGCCTGATGGAGGCATGGTCGCGGAGATGGCGGCAAGAAAAGGGACGGGGGCGCAAGGCCGTGAACGGGAAGGGGAAGTGCCAGCGAGGCGTCGAGCCCTCCCAAGCATTGTCAAGTCCTCTTTAACAAATGGTTGTATTACTTACATTTGAACACAGGAGATGACTGCAAGGCACACAGGAAGCAGTGAGAAGAAGGACCTATCCAGGGCCGTGGCCTTCTTGACGCTGGAGCGGGTGCAGGGCACTTCAGACAAGCTGAAGACAGATTTCCTCCTCGGCAAAGGTTTCACAACCGATGAGATATCCGACGCGATGCTTCAAGCTCGAGATGTCATCGAAAAACGTAATAAGTCGGCAGCACGGGTACACTCCGTAGGCGGAAATCAAACTTTTGGCGCAGCAGCACCGACGCCTGTGAGTAGTATTGCGCACGTCCTGCCCGAGCCCAATGCTAAAGCGAGTTCACTTGTCACGCTGCGTGGCGGCGCTCTCTCCTTCGTCGCGTTAGGAAGTAAACCCTACGACGGCAATACGAGTCCCAGTTTTATCGTGGAGAATTTGCTGAAAGATTTAGAGAGGACTCTGGTTGCACCTGTCCCGGCAGACGGAGGGCAGCGTGATATTGCACGAGATAAGGCAGATGTTGCGGTCATATGTCTCTCAGTGTACGGTTTACAAGACTGCGAAAACGACATCCATGCAATACTGGACAAATGGGTAGATCCTCAGGCGCCACCAGCTAGGTTTGTCGTAAGTGCCCCTACTGAGAAACGCCATGCGGCGCAGCTATTGGCAATCGTGAGAGGGTAGCCATAATTCGCACGAACACGAAATACATACATGCACAGCACCTAATTAGATACTATGATAATATCAAATTATGACTAAACAGCAAGTGTAAGGATTTCATGAGATTGTCATTTGTTTTAATAAATGTAATGAAAAGCTTTGCTGGATCTAGACTTCAAACGGAAACAGTCGTATTCATGCTTAGAAATTCATGAAAGCAAAACAACTCTCTGCGTGAGCCCCTCCACCAGCAGACGCATGATTTGGTGGGCTTCACAGCATAGAAGTTTGTGCAGGCTTCCTTCAGGCCTATATGAATTTACCCTCGCCTACTGGCTTAGATATGACTTGTGTCAGAGTGCAATAAAGTAGAATCAGGCAGGAAATTCCCTACAGTAGAATAGACGCGGATCTTGTGGGCATTTATCGGCTTACCGACTGCGCCCATGTGGGATGTCTCCATCTAGAAGTTGGTCTGCCTAGGGTACCCGGACCTTTCTCCGACGCCTAAAAGCATCGTCTAGCTGGCGTTGTCCTGCTCTGTGTCTGGCTCATGACGATGAGAAGACGTAGTCTTCAATGCCTATTTTATGGAGCCTCGATTGGAACGTTATGTAATCAAGATTGCGCATTAGGCTCTTGTTTTGGCTTTTTTGGAACGTTACTCATAAGTATCCTGCCCAACCACACCCGTGTGACTTGGAACCGATGCTACATGTGACTCCCAAACCAATCGCTCAGCCTTACAAAAGCAATGTGTAGCTTTTTTTTTGTTGATAGCACATTTTTCTCACGTAGCCCGCATGGCTTTTCCAGGCAAGAACGCTGCGTACAGAATGCGGGAGGCGACTTGAGGAGCCACTTTCCTCCTGCTTTCTGCCCGGGCCCGACAAAGGCATGCTCTCATTTTGATACCGCCCGGGTATCGGACACAAATACAACGACGAAGTATATCGCACCGTAAGCACACCACTTTTTCGACGGTGCGACGCCATAAGGTCGTCGGTGGGGGGGGGCGGGTGCTCAAATGATGGGTAGGAAAGTGAACCGTGGCGAGATTCCGTCGGATGCAGCGACCAAGCTTCTGGTGGAGCTGGGCTGGGATTTCGACTGTGACCCAACGCATAACACCCAGCACCAGGTCTATCAAGCCACTATGCCGGACCTGCCATGGGAAAGCCTCGGGCAAAGAAAACAACTGAACGCCTTCTTGAGCGACGCCATTGTCAGGGGAAAGTTGGTTTGCACTCGCGATGAACTACGGGCGGAGGCTGCGCGCTTAGCTTGTAAATCCTGTAAATCCCTCGTTGAAGATGCCATGGACCGCTTTGTGGAGGCTAAGTCATCTTCTGTCTGCCCATCACTGAAGATGACGAAGGCCGCGGGAGCCTTGGGTGACAGCTGCAGGAGTGGAGAGGGGGCCTTGGATACGAGCGAAGGGATCGTCAAGCCCCAGGAAACGGAGAGTCAAGACGACGAAGGTTCGTTACAAGCGATATCACAAGAGTTGGTGAATGTCGCAGACCTTAGTTGGAAAATAGAGCCCGTGGGGGGGGGCATTAGCTCGTCCCAGCTGGAGCAGCTCCAAGAGATCGTGAAAATGAGTGCTGCCACTCCTGAATCTCTCTCCTTATCAGGCAGCGACCGCCTGGTAGCCTTGCTTGCCGAAGAGGGGGGAAGTAGTAAGGACGGTCACGATATGGCAAAAATAATGGAGACCTTGTCCTTTGCAGATGGCTCGGGGAAAAAAAAAAACAAAAAGAAGAAGAGGAAGAAAGCCGTGTCTGTTGCTGCGCAACCGAGCGCCTCCGTGGGACGACTAATACCCCATACATCGCCTGGAATCGTTGCAGACGATGGTGACGTAATGGGGCAACTGGAGGGTGGAGGCGGGGGCGGGGATGACGAGGTCATGCATTGCCTGGAACGAACGGGACAGGAGGCAGTATGGAGCGAGGGGACAAAGGGCAAGGAGGGAAAGGTCGACGGCAACGGGAAGCGCCGAGAGGGGACCGAGGTTAGCAAAAAGCTGCGGGAGAAAAATGATGCGGGCAATGGCAATGACCCAAAGCAGTCAGGAAAGGAGCGCAGCACTGAGGGGGACACCAGCGAGCACGAGGGACAGGCCGCGGCCCTGAGGCTATTGGGCGGGGAGCATGCTGGCCATGGAGCGGTGCAGACAGCGGGAGAATGGCTGCGTGAAAAACTCGCCTCGCTCGTTCAGCACTATCGCGGGTTGATGGAAGCGGGCGCGGCAGCCGACAGGATGAGCGAGCTTACCGCCTCCGAGAGACGCGGCGGACGGGATGCGGGTCTCAGCGCGGCTGGGTCCGGCGCCTCCAACTCCTTCCTTGAGTATCAATTACAGCATCAAGCGTACAAACTTCCGCAGCTGCTGCAGACGCAGGAGGCTCACCTTCGCCAGTGGTTGCACACACTGACGGAACTGGTGCGTTCCCTGTTGCGCTTGGAGGCGTGCCTGACCCTGGTTGCTGGCCAGAGCCGTGAGGTTCTCAGCCGCCTTATCAAGTGCATTTATGCGCAGTACGAGAAATCTATAGAGGAGCTCATGCAGGTACACATCCAGGGCCGGAAAGCTATGCTGCGGGTGCTTCCAGCCACGCTCGCTCAGGAATTTTTCATCATCCTGAATTATCCAGCACCGCCCGAGGCGCGGCATATGTCCGCCCGACATCTTGAAGAGAAACGCCGAATTGTCCTGCGCCTTCATGAGCTGGTGGCGCAGTATCTATTGCCGCAATCCACGGACGAGTCTCCGCTTGCTGCTGGCCAAGGGCTGGCAAATTATGATGGCCGGCGGACTCGAGCTCTCCTGGAGCGCTACATGCACCTGGGGCACGACCCGATGGGTTTCTTCAAAGGTGACTTTTGGGATATAGTCGAGAAGAAAGAGGAAAAATGCTATAATTTGCGTGTGAGTTTGCTGGCTGGCACACAGCCTAAGTCCCATCGCACAGAAATTTTGCAGGAGGCTCAAGAGCATGAGACCGCTCTCCGAGCCACGGTCACGGAATGGGAAGGGAAGCTTCAGGATCTTTTCGAAGCTACTTCCGCTGCTTTTGAAAAAGAGCTGGCGGTAAGCTGCTTTCCGCAGTCCCTTGAAATGGCTGAAGCACTTCGTGGGCGCCAAAGGGCCTTCATTGCGGAGTGGGAGGCCCATCGTGAGGGGTACAAGTTCCAAGTCACTCTCAGCCAAGAGCGCCTTCAGGAGGTGTATGCCGCCAATCACGAAGAGAAACTCCGCCTCCGCCAGCGCAATGAGGCCGCGTTGGTAGCGGAACACGAGAATAGCACGGATGCACGCAAGCATCTTCCTGCCAAGGATACCGCCAAAGATACTAGGAGCGGTACGGACAATCCCCTACCGAACGGGGGCAAAGAGGGGCCTAACGATGGTGGAAAGGGCGGCAAACCGGGCATAGAGGCTGTCACAGCTATGAACATGAACTCTCTATTACAACAAGCACAGTTGCAGCAACTTGAGCAGTGTCTGGCATTCCGCGTGGTCGCAGTCAGGCACATGACACAGCGCCTGCGCCTGGTCCGCGGCCATCAAGCCTTCTTAAAGACAAACTTGTCTCGGCGGGCTATTGTGACCCGCGCGCTTTGCGGCCAATCGTCTGATGCTGCTACCAAAATGCGACTTCTTCTAGCGCGGCTTCTCGTACAAAAGCTCGGCAGCGCGTATGGTGATTGGCAGGCGACGTTGATGGAGCAAGAGCTCTCAGCTCAGGAAGAGAGAGATAAACAGCAGCAGCTCTTAAAGAAAGGCGGTGGTGCTCACAGCATGACTATGGGGAAAAAAAAGGGCTCTACGAGGGTAGGAACTCTCACCGGGAAGGCGGCTTTGGCAGTAAATGGTAGAGCGAGCTCCCTCATGGGCAAGGAGGGACTAGCAGCGAGCTCTTCGTCCGCAGGACCTGTGTTTACAGGCACGGAACCGACCGCGGAGAGCTTTTGTTGCCTCGATCGCGGTGATTCCACCCAAGCTGGCCCCGACAGGATGGAGGGTGCGGCTTCCTGCGTTTTCCTGTCCAGCAAGGAGGTAACAAAGCCCAAAGGGAAGGGGGGTGCGGAGGGAGAGATGGGAAATGCAGCGCAAGCGTCTTTCTTGTCGTCAGGCCGATCAAGCTTGAAGGAGTCGAGGCCCCTGCAGTCTCCGTCATGGATTGACTCGCAAGGAAATTTCTTAACGTCGGCGCGCTCACTTGCTCACCACCAGAGCGAGGCCGCTGCCTCTGGCGAGTGCGATGGCCTTGAGCTTGGGTGGATAAGGGTCTCCAGCAGGGAGGGGAGGCACCGCGCTCTCACGAGGAAGGAAGAAAAGCGACACGAGCAACTACAGGAAGATGCAACACTTGCTGCAGAAGAGGAGCATAAAGTACCCAAGTTAAGGCCCCGAGATCAGAGAGAGGAAGAGCAGAGAAAAGAATCAGCCCAAGAGCGAGTAAAAGGGCAGCACGGTGTGGAAGCTGGTCGTTTGAGTCTGCGAATTTATCGCGGCGAGGGCAATGGCGCGCAGTCACAGTCAGCATCATCACCTTGGACAGCACATTCTGACACGAATGCAGAGGTGGCACGCATAATCCCGTCGTCCTCGGCGCCACCGTCCCCGCCGTCAACGAATGAGGAGCGACCTCATGAGACGCGGGAGGACCCACTATCTTCCTCCAAGTTGGCCGCCACTTCTACGCACGCTACAAATCTGGAATCTGTGGACAATTTCTCAAAAACCGCTTTTAAAGTCGATGTGCGCGGCGGGAGTGGAGGAAACGGGAAGGCTCTGAAGGAGGATGATGTGGTTTGCAAGGACGGAAATAGTTTGGGTGGAAGGGACCTGCAAAGAGCCACGGGATCTGATGCCTTTGACCCAGGTAAAGCGGTGGAAGGGAACGATGAGGAAGATGAGGATATAGGGGACGTGGAGATATTGTTTGGCGCTTTTGGAGGGGTCCAAGAGACTCGGGGCGGGGAATGTGAGTCGTATAGTGAGGGATGCGAAGACTTTCAAATAAGATCCGGGGGCCCTGAAGAGCAGCACATGTCCCCTATCGACGTCGAGACCCCTGTGAGGATGTCACACTCGCGGGGAAACACCCAGCCACCGATGGACGACTTCTCGACCCAGCCCTCGCAACCACTGCTCCAGCTGCCGGTCGCCGAACGGTCGCAGCATCACCTCATAGCACAACGTGGTCGGGACGTTGAGATGGACGTGGCGCAAGACCAAAGCCATCGACGTCACCAGGACGACGTGTCTTCATCGCCACATTTGGTAGCCTGTCCTCCGTCGCACCCGCAGACTCACGTTGGTGCTCAATGGCCCGCGGTACCCTCCTTTCATCAACCTCTACCGGATGTGAATGGGAGCATCACAGCTCCTCTCGCGCGGCCAGAACTAGCGCATTCTGGTATTTATCCGACGCAATATTCGCACGCGATGGGGAAGGTGCACCCACATATGGTAGAGGGGGGGGGGCTGCCGCCCAATCATCCGCCCTATCAAGGCTACTTTCCGTCCGCGCCCTCCCCTTACTTCGTCGATGTTCCGCCTCCCAATACTCCTATTTTTGCAGTCTATTCCCATGACCTGGGCCCACCTCTTGTGTACCAAGAGCTGCAGAGCGGGCAGCGACGGGAATATCCAGGGTCTGGGACCGGCATGGGGGACAACCATTTGACGTCGACGCAAGAGCAGTACGGCCCACCGCACCAAGGGCGACAGCACCATTATAGTCGGTACGCTGAGCAAGGATGCTCGCTGTACCGCCAAGGCTTCTTTGATGGGTCCTCTCCACACCCCAGCCGCCTCCGTCATTATCAGGGCGGCGGGCCTCCCTCTGCCGTCCACCCGGCCTATTCGCTGCCCGTGCACCACGCGATCGACGTACAGCAGCGACCACTTCCCTTTGCGTTTCCACGAGTCGTTCGTAATTCTCCTTGTCGGGGCAATCCCGTTTTCACAGCCGCACCGCCTTATTCGGCAATTTCATGTGAGGAAGGTCGGCTGCCAGGAGGGCCCCGCGCGCTCCTCCGCGGGGCAACGGAGGCGGGGTGGAGAAGAGGGAGAGTGTCCAGAGGAAGAGGAGACGAGGAAGGAGGCCGGGGACATGCACGGGGCCGCGCCACTTACTCGACTGCCGGTCGCAATGCCCGATGTCAGGGTTTGCCACCTTCCGGTGAGGGAGAAACGAGTTCGAGCAACAAGCAAGACGGGTGCCAACATAGTTATCCCGTGCCCATTAGTGGTGTGGGAGCACAGGCTGAAGAAGACACCGAAATAGCGCGCCAGTTGGTCGTAGAAAGAGTGGAGGGGTCACATGAAGCTGGCATAGCCACGGGCGCCCATCTATCCCACCCTCCGAAGCAGGAGTCTCGAGTCAAGCTTCCATCGGACCGCATAAAATCGCCCTCCAACCGATCGCAGGCGGGCAGCAGGGTGTTGGTTGGCGGAGGGCTCGCAAATAGGATGGGTCAGAACCACTGCTACCTAAATGTGGTCGTTCAAAGCCTCTGGAGCATTCGCGCATTCAGGAACCGCGTTTGTCGCGACACAGACACCTCGATGCTGGTCAAATCGAATGAAACTGCACACATGTGCAAATTGCATGAAGCCTTACGAGCAGTTATGGAGGGGCTCTCCGACCAAGAAGCTAATATAGCAAGCCATGAAAGGGGAGAAGATACCACAATACCCCCCCCGGTGGTATCCGTTGATAAATTGCGACAAGTCCTGAGCGAGATGGTAAGGCAGAAATCAAATCCAACTCCTGCCTGTGGAAGTGAGATATACGTTCACGACGGAAAATTTCGCGCTGGGCATATGGACGACGCAGTGGAAGCCTTTGAGGAAATACTGCGCCTGCTGGGTACAGGAGGCGAGGAAGGCCGTCTCGTGGTGCGGGATTCCTTTTGTCTTCATTTGCGGGAACTCATGTTTTGTCCCACCTGTGGTAGCTCTTCTCCAAGCCCCGCTCGGGATTATGACACCAACGTCTTTTACGTCCCTGTGCGGTCTTTGATCGAAGAAGCCGCTCGACGGGCATCAAGCAAATCAAATTCAATTTCGATCTCAGAATCTGTCGGCCTAGATTTTGGTTCATTGCTGCAGGACGCTGGGTCCGGGGACTTGTACCGATGCAGGAACACCGAAGCGTGCCCTATTGCGCGGCGAGGAGAGAAGCGCGCCGGTCATCGATATTTGGTGCGAGGGCCCCCTTCAGTGTTTTCGCTGGGGCTCGTGTGGGACAGCTTGAAGGCAGATCCAAGGGACACTCAGGCGCTCATCGATTTATTATCCTCAACAATATGCCTCAAACATTTCAAGTTGCCCGTAGAACATCAAGGGGACGACGACGTTGAGCAGCAGGGGGAAATGATAGGCGTTCTCCGCGGCTTTTTCGCGTTCCATCCTCAAAAGCATCATTACGTATCCTTTCTTCTCTATGACGGGACGGGCTGGGTCTGCGTAGACGACGGAAGGGCATATGCCCTGGGACCTCACTTAAGTGATGCCTTAAAGGAGTGCACAGAGCAGCAGTACCAACCAAGTCTACTTTTTTACGAAGCAAATTAGGGAAAGATAAGGTTGCCGTGCGCTTCGACTTTTTCATCATTAAGGGAGGCCTTACAAGAAGATGAAGCTTCGAAAAAGAGTGTATCTGAATAGGTAGAATGAATCAATCGGTAGATACACTTAAGTAGAAAACAACTTGGAAAACTCACTTGACAGCTCGTGAGGAAAATGTTAGATTTCAGAGCTATGTATGTCTAAAAAAATGGGTCATGGTTGGTAAGAAACAGATAGAAGCCTTCAAAGCTTCAGAACTCGGCCGTCAATACTGTGATACTATATCTTTGTGCTTTGATTTGTTACTTTGACGGGTGCTGCTTGCTTGTGAATGTTCACCACGGCCAGAAATTTGCTTTAAAGATTGTGGTTGTCGTCCTTAAATCCTTTGGAGACTAGAAACAGATTTCAGACATTATTGTACATGAGCCTCCGAAATTTTTTATATGCTTTCTGTCGACCGGAGAAGGGATGAACAACATAGCTGCACTGCATAAAGTGATACCATCTCAATGCGCTTGGATCAATATAAGCGGGAAATGTAATGGTGGTCGCAAAATGCGTCATAGGTGACTGACACGTCGTGGGCTTCTTGCAAGGTCTGCCGCGATTTCCAGTACCTACAGTTTCTTTTTTCCGCCACCGAGTGAGTTCAGGGTAGTCCCCAAAATAAGCCTTGTGAAGTGTACAAGAAGACTGCAATATAAATTCAGTCGGACAATGCTCTACCTTGCTGTTCCCTAAGGAGCAGTCTGTCTGCTTGCGATTTTAATTCACGTCGAGGCATACGCATCAGCAGGAGTGCTACACATGAATATGCAATGGGGCATCCTTTTGCCTTTCCGTCCAACAAAGCTTGGTCGAATTCTACCACTTTTCATTTCATCCTCCACTTCCCGAAGGGCACTTCTTTAATTGCACACGTCTCAATGTGCACCATCTTCCCAGATACTTCTCGACCGTTTCTTTCATAAGCTGTCGCTTATTTCTTCAGAGTATCAGCTTTCCTTAATTGAGGCTGTAAGTTCTCCTGGCACAAGCCTCCTGGTCCATACTGGGCGAAATCGCTTACATCCTTTGCATCGTCTTTGCCGGTAGCGTATCCAGTATTGCCCACGGGGCACTGCGATCGATAATGCGCGATCATGGCGCCCAGTTTGCGGCCCTCTGTCCGAGATTTCCCCAGTCGCTTAGCTGCGTTGCGGACGGGCTTACCACGTTGCCCGGATGACTTGAGAGCCTTACGGCCCTGCTCCTGCTGCTCCTCCCGCTCCTCGCAGGCTTGCATGAGCTGATGTAAGCTTTGCAAAGCCTCTTCCCGGAATGTTGTCAAATGACCTGGACAGCGCTCGCTCACGCGACGTTCCAGCTTGTCGTAAAGCGCCATCATTGTGGGGCCGGTCTCTGTCTCGTAGAAGATGTCCGCCATGTACAGGCCGAGCTCGTCTTCAAGATCTTGCTGCGAGATAAAGTTGTTCACGAAACGCATTAAGTGTTTCTGAACACGCCCGCTTGCGATGGTTTTGAACCACGGTAGTGCATCGTCACTGCCCTGACTTGTGATCGTATTGTGCGTAGACGTGTCTGGGGTAGGGTGGTTTGACGACTCTCTTTTGTCTTTTCCATGCTGCTCCTGCCATTGCACATCCGCTCGACCACTGCTGCTCGGAGGGAAATCACAGTCCACACCGTCGGCGAAGCTGTGTCCCCGCACTCTCCACATCACGCCGCCCTCGGAGCCTCGCGGGACCTCCGCATGCCCACCGCTGGAAGTTTTATGATATCGTCGTGCTTCGAAGTGACGGGCATACTGTGATTGGATCGCAATGAAGCTTATCGTTGTGAGTACATTGGAAGAGATCAGGTCCTCACGCACGGGCCCTATTTTTTTTTCACGTTCTTCCTTTTGCATGCCAAAATTTACTTACCCCCGGATAGCCCGATTCAGTCACTGGTATGTCCCCAGCGCCGCAGTGCGCGATGTTTGGGGGTCTGAAATTCGATGTCGATGAGTAGTACTGGTAATTATGGTTATGAGCAGGCGCCTGAAGGTAGTCCTGAGACTGTATGCCCGACCGCGCGCTATCGTCATGCTTGAGCCCTCGCATTTCGGCCAGCGGCATTGCGCATGTAGGAGGCCGATGCTCGTGCAATTGCTTTTGGTGCGTTATGTCAAAAAGCGGGGGGCTTTGGTCTTGGTGAAAGGGGTTACGGGAGTTCTGACTGGGGCCTGGAGGGACGCCGGTGGAGAAGGTTGCGTCAGGTCGGGACTGGAAGAGGCGTTGAGGAGGCGCCAAGCCCGCGCCTTGTGCATCTTCCGTAGATTCAGTTGCTTCAATTAGTCGATACGGTGGGTCTCCTTGCTGCAAACCCCCAGGCGTAGTGTGTGACCACCGACTCGAGAAAGAGGAAGACGACGCTGTCGGCAGCCGCCCCTGCGCATGCCTCGGTGGCATGTAGTGCTCTGACAGCCCGTGTGATGCACCTCGCGATTTCGCACGAAAAAATGCACCGCCTTGCATAGAACTCTTTGCTACATTGATCGCCGCCATCATGTCCGAGACCTCTCCTACGTCCTGGCCACATCCTCTCAAGCCACCTCGAGGCGCTTGTGATGGAGGGAACGCGCTTCCAGAAAAGATCCCGTTCTGATGATGAGCATGTGCCTGCCGGTCTGAGAATCCTACGCGTGTCGTAGCAGAGTCCCCAAAGTGACTTTGAAATGTTCTGCGGGCGGACGCGGAGGAGAAAGAGGAATTCCAAGCATGACCCCGGGCGACTGGGCCCCATGCCTCGCTCTTTACGTCCACGATACTTCGGTCGACACAAGCTGGCTGTCTTGTCGCTGGTGACGATGTGTTGTGCCCGCTACACATCACCTCCCCAGCCAAACGTAGAGCAACGCTAATTTCCGTTTCGGTAAAGCCCTTGCTTTTCAGGAAAGCGATGCGCGATGAAATTGGTGTCTTGGCCACATTTGGCACTGTCAGAAACTCCAACGCTGTCACCCCTTCCGATCCATTACATAAACGTGCCTTGTTGTATGTGGACGCATCATTGACCCCTCTGCCCGGGTTCATGACGACCGCCGGCCCGCCTGATTGAACCAAAGGAGATAGCTAGCACCAGAGGCAAGAGGCCCCTCCCCTCTCCTCTCTATACAACTCTCCACTTTGACAGACCACGTTCCTGGATTGTTTGGATGGGACGATGTCAAGTTTTCATCCATAAAGTTTGTGGGTGGTCCGGATTTGACATAGTATTCAAGACCTCGCCGTGTTGAGAGAGGAGTCGGTTTTGGCACCGCAAGGAACACTGAGGGATGCCAAATCAACGACGTAAAAAAAATCACAACCGTCGTACAGATTTTCTGTAAGAAGTCGAATGATGACAATTCACCCCCCGCACATACCAACACTGGCACAATCGGAAACTAGCAGGAGGGCGGGACACTCCACACATGTTTGAGTCATATTTCGTGTGTAAACAATATCCGAGCAATACCGTGTGGCATGCCTGCAGAGAGGCCGGGGGTTTCCTTTTTTTGAATCGCACTCACCTTGAGAAATGGCAAGGGTACACACATACTTGCGGCAAGCGCAGTCCAACTACACGCAGTAAAGACGACGGGTCGACAGGACATACGGCACATCCTAATGGTCGTCGCCTCAATTTTTGAGCGAGACCAAGTGAGCATGTTTGGGTCTGGCGAGGCGGTGGCGAGGCAGCGACGCGAGGGGGCCCAGTATCTTCCTCTCTTTCCTCTCGTCGACGGGCAAAAGCCTGCCATCTCGGGGACGAGTAGGCGGCGATGGAATGTTTTTGCTCCATATTTCAAATAATTTGTACAATTTTACCTACAAGGATACCTGCTGCTGGCTGTGGAGGCAGCACGACCGCGAAATAGTAACACAGAAAGAGTCATCTATTGGAAAAAATTGCAAATCAAGGGCCGCGGGATCGAAAACTTACCGAAAAAATGGCATTACGTCGTCGAAATGGTGTCAGACAAACTTCAGAGGAATTGAGCTCTGAGATTTTCACAGAACGCGTCTTGGTATGTAACATTGTTCTCGTGTAGCTCGTGTGAAGGTAGAAGGGGTTCTCATAAGGCATTGTGCTTCCCGTTTGTATCTGTCTTCTCTCTTCAAAATCAGTATCAAGGATTTTTGTTAAAACTCATCGATATGGTGCTGTAACAAAATGCGCATATACATGCTTTTCGTACTTAGGGGCTTTTCTCTTGGGGCCATTCACATGTACTTCCCCCCCCCAACGCCCTCCTGATAGACCGTCTACAGTCAGCAGGCTCAGCGCATCCAAGAATCCTTTAATCTCGCCATGGAAAGTAACAATAAGGCGTTTGATAATGCTCTTAAAACAATAATTGCGGTCCTTGGACGTAATCATCCCTCTCAATGCGTGGAAGCGGTTGATGAAAGCTCAGGCCGTCAGCACGTCGGTCCTAGCCTTGAAAGCGGAGACAGCGGGACTCGCCGCAATCGACCTGCTGCTCGACTCTCGAGGACCTCGCGGCGAGTTCGTGCTAGTCCCTTCCACATAAAAGGTACGCGAGGAGGGATTGCTGACACCGAGGTCGAAGATGAGGAGGAGGAGGGACAAGAAAGAAGGGAAAGTCCTATGACCTCAGAATCCCTGTCTCTGGAAGATAATGCGGAGCCGATGGGGGTCAGAGGTATTTTCGTCAACGATAACATGGAGGTTGAAGAGCAGCAAGGTGGCCCATACGCCAGCAGCGCTCGAAGGCGATCCTCCTACCCCACCCGGCTCAGGACGAGGATGGCCCCTCTTAGGGGGGCGGGTGGTGAGGCGGAGGACAAAGCGCTCAAATCTGCCGATGCTGCACAGCTTGAAGGTTCAGATGTAGGGATTCGTGGTCTGAGTCCGGTCAGGGTCACGAGAAGGGGGAGCACGCTCGGCAGGCCCCCACAGCGGTCGGCAGACGGGCGCCAGCACGCCGAAGCCGTCCTCCCTGTGAGCAAGAAACGGTCCCGGCTCGGCCACCACTCTGTCCCGTCTCGCGACACGGAAGCTGGACTCGGAGAATATGAGGAGTTGGGCGACGTGAGTGGCGTGGACGGGGAAAAAGGACATCCGACGAAAGGGGAAGGGTCCAGCCCGGCCTTGCCCGCGCCCTCTCGCTGGGAGGTGACGGCCGCGGTCCAGGCTTTTTTACGGGGCTTCGAGCGGTATTTGTCATTGGAGCATGTTTCATCCCACACGGGGCAGCCCTTGGCGCCGCTGACAGTG